ATGGGGGGGATAGGGACAGTAGATTGTGCTGTAAAGGGACAGTAGAGTGTGCTGTAGAGTGTGTTATATAGGGGACAGTAGCAGGACCCTCCCTGGTTCCCCTCCATAACCATGGGAAGTCCAATCGAATGTCCTGCTGCAACCCCATCAGAAACCCCAAACACAGCAAAGACAGGATTGGATCCAGTGATCTCCTGGTCTGTAAACTGCAGCTCTATCCACAAAACCAGTCAGCACTGCTTGAGAAATGTAAAACAATGTAAAATGTTTTACAGCAGTAGCTGATTTGCCAGAGCTACACAAGTCAAATATTCAATAGTTTAATATGTAGACAATTTTTAAAATCTTTCAATGGGAACTTAAGATCCAGTTCTGCCCAGCCTAACACAAGTATAAATAAAGTGTACTTTAGGACAGTTGAGGATTGGGTTCTTGTCCAGAAGCTCTTGAGGTTGAATATAAACCTTGCCAATCAGCTTTCTAACCCAATTGATACGTAAAGTACCCAGCAGAATAAAGGTTTCAGCTTCAGAAGATACTAGGAAGACAGTAATTGACTAGTTTGAATTGATTTTAATGCTGGATATTCATCACTGCCAACAAACCAAAGATTGGTAAAAAGGTATAAATAAAACCTTTTGGCTTCCCTTCCACTGGAACAAACTTCTCAAATCTTAATTCCCTGATATTCCTGGCTACCTCCCATTTGCATTGTTCCTCTGCAAAGATGTATCCAATTTGTTTTTAAAATGTTATGATCATAGCCTCAAGTTACTTGTGATCAACTGTGTACCTCTCAATCTCGCCTGCCAGGTAAACTGGTGTAGAATGCAAATACATTCCCCCATCAGCATGGTTTTGGGATGGCTGGAGAAGAATTGCATTAACCTATAACAAACAAAATGTGATCAGTTTTACATCAACATGGTTGGTTAGAAGCCCCGTTACCATTTATATGTCTAACATGATTCATACCAGTTTTACAAAAATAAACTTAAATTTTGCATTATGATCTTTACTAGCGGAAGGTTTTCTGGAAAAGAAAGCATTAATCACATAATGGAGATGCTCCATATGTAGCCTTTCCATTTCAAAAAGATAGACTGCAAAAGAGATGCTGAAATAGCTTATAAATGAGATAGCAGACCCCTCTGAATATGCAACATTCAATGGTAGCATTTCAGATAACCATGAATTAATAAGGTTAATGTGAAAATTAAATGATTAAAAGACTTCCTTGGAGCAGCAGATAAGTCAAATGTACATTGCTCGGTGACTTACATACCAAATTCTGGAAGCTATTCTGTCACAGGACATCTCATGACCATGGCAGAGTGAGCACCTGTAACTTACTCCAAGACGACAATAGCATTGACTAAACATTTTCCAAAGCCAGCTACTCACATGGCACTTCCATGATTTCTGATTATGCCAGGATTAGTGATACACCAGACTAATGCTGCCCTACTCCAGTAAAATAAGTAAATAAGCTTATATAAAACTGTGAGAGAAAAATCTACATTTCCTGTCTCCTTGAACATTACATAAGGTGCGAGCTGTACCCATTGCAGCTTCACTTGCAACTAAAGGATCCAATATGGAATGTAGATTGACACACAGACATTTCATCTTTATCTATACTCCAGTGGGAGGGCTCCAGTGGGAGGGCTCCAGTGGGAGGGCTCCAGTGGGAGGGCTCCAGTGGGAGGGCTCAGCGTTTCAAATATGTAATTTTGCTGTTGTTGCCGCGGCTCAGGTTCGACTGTGTTATTTGTACCCGTCGCTTGGCTATGTGCGCGCTCTGTGATGCAGGAAGCCACAGCGCCACAGTCAGCCGGGCAGCCATCAGGTGTAACTGCAGCGCGTGAGGCACAATGCCACAGCGCCACTTTGACTCGGTGGCCACCGGGCGTAACTGCAGAAAAAAATGCAAAACTGAAAATAACACAAACAATCGGAGATACCTGAAAACAAATATGCCCATGTCACTCCCAGTGCAAAACCTTTCCGGTGAGGTATAAATCATGGCTCTACATCAATCAGTTATTGAGATCCTCCTTGAAGGACAGACGGACATTGTCATTTTATTAGAATAAAGAAGATAAGATTTAGCTTGACCACAAACATTTTTTTGGTCATTTAAGTAATTCAAAATCTTCATTTGTTTCAGTTGAAACTATTTAACCACTGCTCATCATTCCCTGCACCGTATATACAACTGGGGTTCAAACCTTGGTAAAATGGGACTTTGTAAATTAATTAGCCACAGTCAGTTTTCCTATATAAAAAGTCAGTTCCTCATCAGCTGTATTTTGCAAAGCACTGCTTTTTTAACATGAAAGGCATTATATATGAAAAAATATGCATCAAAATATGCATAATTTATGCAACTAGAGTTTCAGATTTGCGCACAATTAGCAAAAAAATTGGTAATTCTGCATTGTAAGCACAGTTAAGAGAAATATTATACATTTATATAACGCCCATCACATTGGGAGGTGATAGCCAAAGAGGGGGTGGGGGGAAAACAATGACTGACATACACCTCGAGATGGGGCTGTGAATGAGTTGAGCAAGGGAGCTAATTGGAGGGACTCCAGGACAGAATGGCTGATTGTGGGGCAGATGGGTCGGGGGACATGAGGTAGGCTGATGTGCGTGAAGCAAAGTGAGCAGCTGGATCAGCAGGTACATCACAGATCATCTGGTTTTCAGGGAAAGATATTTGTATTATTGCAGAGGAATACCCGATATGCTCACTTATGGAAATTCCAAGCACAAAAATATCAGAAAAAAGGCTCCTATTTCTTGAGGACCCAAAGAAGGGAAAAAGATGAATAATCACTTTATTCTAATCCATAATCAATGCATTGCTTGACAGACTGTTTGAGAATCAGTCAAAATGCATCTATACCCTTAAACAGGTACAATGACGGAGAACAAAGTCAAGAAATAATCCTAAAACCAACAGCTAGGATCCCCATAATGCTTCACCGACACAAAACTAATCTGTTTCTTGTTCTTTAGTATCTAGGCTGGATTACCATATGTCATTAAACCTTCCTCCAAGCAGAAAGATTAATTGTAATGGCTAAAAGCTGTATTTTGCTGGTGAACACAATTGTAAAGATTGCCAGCAGGTTATAGATGTATCGTTTCTGAGCTACTATATTGGAAAACAATTGTGTATTTGGTAAATTTAAACAGCTCGCTATAGATTTAAAAATAATTTTACTATCTAACTGGGATAATTATTGTGAACCTACTGCATGCATTTCTAGATTTTCAGAGCTTATCTAAGAATGTGAGCAATCACACCGTAGATAGACCTGAAACATTAACTCACTTCCTCTCTTCATAGATGCTGCCTGACCTGCTGAATGTTCCCAGCAACTTCTGTTTTTTTTCCCCACACTGTAGATAGCACTGGTCACATCTGGCAGTGAGATCTAGGTCACATCTCGAGTTTGTTTGGCAGCTGAAATTAAGCAAATTCAGTGAAAACTTGTCTTCATCTATTCGCTATTTTACTGGTGTACAATTTGCTGAATTATGCATATTTGTAATAAGCCATGACTGCATGATAAGGAAAATCAGTCCTTTAATCCATTTCATGGTCAAAGAGGAGAGCTTCCAAGCAGCATTATGTAACTCCAGACATCATTAAAAAAATCATAACTGAAGTCTGATTTAGGGCATAACTATTTTATTTAAAACATAATAAAAGATTGCTTTAGAATACTGAATGGTATCTTTAGCACCATTAGCAGATAGTGGGAGGGGGGTGAGGGGTTGGGGCTAAAGGACCCCAGATTATCAAATTGCTTTACTGCTGCTGTGAAGTGTATGCTTGTGTAGATTTTGAATGCGCATGTGAATTTACTGACTGGCATAAATCATAATCGAAGCAGAAAGGGGGAGGAGAGGAAAAGAAACATTAAGGGTAAGTCAGCAGGGAAAAAGGTCCCCCTAGACCTCTTCTATTCGGGATAACCAATTCTCACCTTGTCCATAATGTACGATGCCGTGTGTCTGACATGCCTCTGACAACACACCAATTAACCATAGTAAAAAAAGTGAGAAAAAAGCCAGCAGCACAACAAAGCAGATTATAACAACTGTCTCTTGACCAGGATACATGTTCTTAAAAGCTTTAAACCTCAGTTTTTGCAATTGTACATCCAAATCAAAAGTGGGGTCTAATTTGTGGTTTGTAACAATCCATAAATGTGTGGGTTTGTCAAACCATATGCAAAAGTCATGAGGAGGTAACTATAGGTTCTTAATTATGCAATTAAATCTTATTCCACAATCCAATTCACTGGGTCCTGTATTAAAACTATCTGGGTGCTCCCCTTCACAAAAGAAACAAGAATGGAGTCAAAATGTTTTTGCAACAGTGCAGATTAGCACTTTTGATCTAAATTTCAAACGTGTGTGTGCATGCACACCCACACATAAACATCCAGTTACCTTGATTAGGAGGTGTCTTTCATTCCAATGTGCCTCAGAAATCAGGCGTACTGGAATGAAAGACTGCTGTTAACAGAGTTGAATTATGTTTTCAAAGGCAAACCCTGGTTGAGAGAGAAAAAAAAAAACTAGAGGTAGTGAATTATTCAGATTAATAGTCTGCTGTTTTAACAATTTACCTGCGGTCACATTTAGATAGTTATGCTGCTGCTCAAACTCTCCACAATGCATTAGCAGTTGGTTCAAGAGAACTACATATACATCATGAGGTTTCGCTCTGCCTGGGTCCTCTCACTTGTGAGGTGAGTGCTCTAACCAAAACACGACAGGATTCACTGTAGAATTTGCTTTATAAATAAAGCATTGATTTTTTCCTGAAACAGTCATATGCACCCTCTTTTTAAACTGCTTATTCTTTAAAACTGTACATGCAGTCAAAGATATACAGCAAAATAATGTTAGGCAGGAACAAAGTTATTCTGCCAAAAGCATAGTTGCAAAAAAAACAGATGTAAATCAAGAGAAAATTTTAAAAGTTTCAGTTTCATACCTTTAATACGTAATGAACAAAGAAAACCGCAACGCGTCACACTTATGATTTGTTAAGGCGCATATAATGATCAACTTTGCAAAATTTGATCCATTTTATTTGCACATTTGCAATCCAACCTCCCCTCTCTCCCCATTTGATCATACAAAGTCAATTTCACTCAACATGGAGCAAGGATCACAATTTTCTATGTACCCATTTCTCTTGAAATGAAGGAGGGATAGGATCTCAATTTTCCATATAACCATCAGTATTTGGGAAAGGAAACTTGCTTGCTGAGAAGTAACCTTTTTAAATCAAGTTTACTATTCAGATGTATCCTGATAAACCTCTGGTTCTTGAATCTCTGAAATTCTGGGCGCAATTGACTGAAACATTTCAGTCTTCAATTTTATTTGCACAAGTTAGACCTGCAATCAGTTGCAAAATTTCAGCTATCCCACATTTACTTCATGCAAGAAGTTTAACTGAAAAGGCACATGTATATTGTGTTCTTTCTCCTGGCTTCCTCTTATAATAGATGCCTGTAAAATACAAAAAGCCTTGCTTAAATAATCGCATCATATTATAAGGCATGTAATCATTTCTCTGGTGTAGGGACAAATCTGAAAAATTGCACCTAAAACAAGTTCAAATATCTATTCTTTTGATATTGTGCCACTATTATCTTCTAGCAAAAGCAAAATCAAAGTATGAATATATTGTGTTGCCCTTTTGTAGAATAAAGACGATAGGGGCTTTCCTCACAGCAGCTATACTATACAAGTCCGGTCACAAGACAGTTCATTAAGTAGAACCTCCCAGTGTTCCACTGTTGTCGGAACTATCCTGCTCATCTTCAGAATCCTCATCTGTGGCTGTGAAAACGTAATGAAAAAATTAATAGCAATTTTCACTCAAAAAATATGCATGTTGTACCAGCAGAAGTAAGAAAGGCAAAATGATTACCTCATTTAATATTTCACATTATTATAACATTCACTCTCTTTAGGCTAGCAAGTAGCTAAAGGTATTGAGCAAAATGTAAAATGAGACATACACTGATTGGCTGATATGTTCTTAACCTAATCTTTCCAAAAATCCAGTCAATTCTATTACTGGAAACTATTATTCTGCTTTGATTGTCTAAAAACAACATTTGTGTTAACCTGGTGTCAGAGGTTTGCATGGTATTGTTGTGTTCTGACTCTAGGACACCTAACCTACTTGGCTTTTCCTCTTCACACTCTACTCTCGTCGCACGCTTTTGATGGAGGAATCTTTAGATTTTGTTTCTACTTCATTCCCTCACAATACACTTGTTGTAAAACCATTGCTGCTTACTGTTGATAACTGTTTTTGTTTTTCATTGTTCTGGTTTATAAGAGTTTCAGCATTGTATTTTGATAATCACAACATTCTTTAACTAAAAAGCAATCTCATAATACAGAATTCAAGGTTTTAAGAATGATCATTAGGATAAAAGAAACTGATCCCAAATCAGTTTATATGCAATTGAGCTCAGGCAGACCCTACTCAAAACACAAACTGAAGCCAGATCATACAGAATTACACATATCTGCCATATTACAATCAATTTGACTTAACATGAATTTACTCAGCACCCCCACACGCAGGATAGCATCCCAGAGCGCTTGACAATGGCGGAGCACAGCGCCGAGCTGGGAGGGAAGTGACCGTGGGTTCAGTCGAAGAGGAACGTTGTCAAGACGCGACTTGAAGATGGGGAAGAAGGGAGCAAGGTTATATTAATAATACTATATTGACCATAGTAGGGGATTAACGTTTCACCAATTAAAATGCCACAATGTCCAGCCCCAATAGTATATCTAACTATCTAACATAAACATGCAAAAAAAATTGGCTGAAAAACAGTAATAAGCCAACAAGCAAGACTGAGCGGTTGGGCTGATCACATTTTAAGGCCAACTGAATATCCGAAAAACCTACTTTCAAGATCCTGTATGTGCTGTTGAAGGGTTCTTGCCAGGTGGATGAACTGAAAGCAATAAGAGCGTGGATAATGTCAAACCCACAAAAATCTCATCAAAACCACATGCCTGCATCATGCAGTATACCGCAAAATCTGTACAACTGTCAAAAGCAGAATACCAGCCAGCTGGTAGGTAAACAATGCTTCACTTCACTATGCTGATCCAATTATAATGTATGTGCACAATTCCTAGCTAAAACGTTCATTTATTCCTATATTGTCTCATCAAGTCATTTGTGGAGTTCTAGATATGTGGTGAGTTTATATTTGAAACTGCAAACTCAAAAATATACAAATTTACAATTAAGTGCTATGAAATTGAACATCTTCATTCGATGGTACTTAAGAGAACATTTTACACTCCTTCCAGCCTCACTATGCAGATGTCTCTATTGTAGCAATTAAAGTTGATCATATTATTTTTAACAAATTCTAATTTCTCTCCTCCAAAATTGCAAATAGAACTTCAGAGCTTTGCACATAGTGAAAACTGGTTTATTGAATTCACCAACATCTTTTACAAACTGCAATTACTATAGAAAATTAACAGCATTGTTCATAAACTGTGTGGCATTAGTTGGGAGGTGAAATTGATCAGTAAGACAACTTCATAAAACTCTTAGCCTTTTAAATAATTTCAGGCTTTCATATTAGTGTTCAGATCAGATTTATTTTGGTTTTGCACGTTACTTTTCACTTTTATGCTTACCCGAAGTCTAGTCCTCGTCTCACTTGTACCACCCATCATGTCAGAAAATCTCTGTTCACACAGATGAAGCAACAGAACAAGGTAGAGACCTGAACTAATGAAGTCATACTGTGCCTGAAAGAGATTGTAAAGTACTCAATAGCATATGGTACCTACAACACAAACCTAAGCAATGATTACTAAATGTACAAAAGTTCAAGCTTCTCAGCCTCTATTTCTCCTTATTAATCAGAATACATTACCCAAATACATACAATAGAAAACCTGAACAATTTTTTGATTCACTGATTCTGTGAAACTGCACTGTTAACCACAAAGTGATTCCAGATAACAGATCATGCATGTACAATTATGTAAATTCCCTCTCCACGTGAAATTAGGTTACACTTAAACTTTGAAAAAGACAATGGTTAATTCTTTACCATATTTAAAAAGGTAGAAAACAATTTACATTCTTTCAAAAATTTTATACAATTTTAAAATTTGATCTAAATGATTTTGGGTCATCTGGTGCCTGTAATCTTGACAAATGTGAATATATAGAGGAACAAATCCCCACAGTCTCTCGTATTATGAGATGGTATAATATAAAAAACAAATCTGTTCCATGACCAAATAAATTTCAATGTCAAACATTCAAACTCATCCAGTATTTTGGATATTCTAGTAAACGCTGGTGTTCATCCAATAAACCTATTTGGCAATGATCCATTGAAAATCCTACAGCCCATACGCACCTGTTCAACTGCATGTGCCCTGTATAACTCATGTACATCAAAGTCTTCAAAGTCCAGCTGCAGTTTCTCCTTACACAATTCACAGATGGTTACAGCAGTCAAATCAGCACCTGCATTAATTCAGTAGACAATACCATTTTAATGCACTCCATTAGATTACATCAATACTAGCCAGATGTCTGTGGCATCTTTTCCATTCTCTATCAATCATACTATTTTGGATAGATTAGTAAATGCTGGTGCCTGATCAATAAACAAGCAATGTCCTGGTAAGACCCCTTCTGGCCAATGGTTACACACCGATTCTAAACTCTGCACCTCAAAAAAAAGACAACTAACATGATAATGAACCTCCAAATCAATTGGTCACCAAACATTTGTGGGACATTGCCATGTGTAAATTGGCTTCCAGATGTTTCAACAGATACATAGCCACTACAGCCGACAGCAATTAACTGTGATGGACTAAGACATCTCAACTTTAATGCATTCTATATCAAATGTAAGCATTATTTTGTACTAGCCCTAACATCACAATATGTCCTATTGCCTTCCTACTTCAATTTCTACTCTTTTACAAGTTCGCCACACCACAAAGAAAGCAAGCAGGCAATTTACCTCAAAGCTTAAAACTTATGATATTCTGAATCATCCATGACAAAATATAGTCACTAAACTTTACAGTATATTCTGTGAAGAGCTTTGATATGTCCCCAGATGATGTGAAAGGTGTTGTATCAAAGGTAAGGATTATTAAGAAACATTTATGATTGCTCTAAGATTTTCTCTCTTGAACAGGAAGGATACAAACTTCACTCTGCCTAAGATATTGGGTGAGATTGGTGGCTTATGCAATAATCAAATACAAATCCCCATCCTAAAGCATGGTTAAGCTTAGAAACTATCTCTCAAAGGTAGTACAAAGAGGGAAAAAATCACCACCTAACTCAATTTCCTTCAGTAATATAGAAAAACTTTTAAAAATCATTGTGATAGCCAGAGAAAAGGAATGTGATTAATCACTTACCTGAGTTTATTTTGGACTGCAACCATTTTTTCACACACTCTTGGTGCACATACTGCAAGCTGCCATTGCAGTTACATGGCTGTATTAGAGGATTAGAAGAGGATGATGTTCCTATTTGGCAGATACGACAGAGATCACCTTCATCTTCATCAGAATCCTCTAATAGTAAGCTGTTGATACAAGTACACCACACAGTGAGACATGGAAACTCCACTGTATGGCTTTAGATATTAACTAACTGGTATAGTCCATTAGATTCCCTATGGTAAAGTTATGATGTTATCAAGTTATTAAATGCCAGGCCTGCGACTTAAGATACAGTAAATGCAAAAAGGAAGCCTCAATCATTAATTGTGTATACCAACAGAAATCTCTCCTGGAAAAGGATATTGAAAACAAATTGGAAGTTTGAACAATTAAACCACTTTACACCATCCAAGTTGGGATTGAAAATTTACGAATAGAAAACAAATCCGACTTACCTCTCTTGTATTTGTCTGAGTTTTTCTGGATCCCTTGATGATACAGTTTCTTTCTTTTGTTTCTCTTGCTGTTGAGACTCAACTGGATTTCTAGAGGGTCTAGTGAAATCTACTGCAATCATTACATTGTCAGTCAGCCCATCGCCAAGGTCAAACGGCATTGAAAGACGAATCACAGAATTAGGAAAAATCCTTGCAATTCCTGAATTGATTCTGTTAGGAGAGGCTCCTAGCCCAGAATCTGCAGGACTTGAAGCAGAGGAGATGTTGCTCGCAGCAGGAGAGGCCAAAGGACTTGAAACAGCAGCTGCAGCTCCCTGGGCAAAGATTGGGGGTTGTCTGCTCAAGTCCCCAAACATTCGAACTTCTCTTTGAAGGATTGGTGATCGGTCGGTTCTGGTATCATTAGTAGAACTTGCAACAGCCATTCTTGCAAATTCATTTCTTCCTTCTCGTCTCCTTCTGCTAAAGAGAGGTGTACAGCGATTGCGTAATGAAGACGACAGCCATGAAGCGGTACTTCGATCTTCCAAATCATCTGGCCTTGAACTCATTGAACTTTCTCTCCCCGCATCGAAGTTTTGAGACTGTGAAGTACTTGTTGAAGCAGTTCTTCTCCACCTCAAAAATCCAAATCCCTGAGAAGATTCTGAGGATCTGTTGTGTGAAATATCAGTATTAACTGCTCTGCCAGCACTACCAATCTGAGAAGAATTTTGAGGTCTTCCATCTAATAGTACAGCATCTGATTGCCCAAATGAATGTCTGGTTTCAAAAGACCTTGCATTTGAATGTTCCTGGTTGGATCTTCTGGTACCAGAGAAAGTAGAGGTCACACTGGATGCCAGACGTGACAACAACTGTCTTGGTCTACACCTGCTACCAGACTCTGTGGAAGAGTTGGGTTGCCTTTGTTGCAATAAAGATGCATTTCTCCTCTCTGAAGTTCCCGATTCTAAAACCCTAGGTCTCGTTCTGCCATGCATAAAGTCACACTCTATACTTGTTTGTGGTGTTTCAACCTCCCTGAAAGAGCTACCGCCACCGGAAGATCTGGGAGAACTTCTGCTTGAATCCTTGGAAAATGTAGACTGGGTCTCTAAAGGTGTGGAAAGTGTTGGATGATTTAAGCTTGTTGCGGTGCGTCGTAAAGACCCAAACAACGTGTCTCTTGGTCTTGCACCTTGTGCATAGGAGGAAAGAAATCTCTCTTGAAGATCTAAAGTATGGAAGATAGGGATGCAGTCAAAGCAGAAAAATAGGTATGAAAACACCATAAAGTTAAATCAGTCACTTGAAAGGCACAGATATGACCTCATCTTAAATATAAACTCTTGCCTCAAAATGTCTGTCAGGAACTTTAGAAGATACTTGAGGGTATAGAGAAAGAAAACCAAAAATATACACTATACAGCAGGACACAAGTTTATGCAATACAAAATTACATTTGTGTTGTGCCTTTCACATCGGTGTCATGACAGGCAACTGGAAGCAGCTCTTTACAAGAGGAAGTAAAGAAGAACTGCAATTGATTGCCAGAAAGAATAGCTGGGCTCTGAAGCTGGGTTCTTACATTATTTGATGCTACAATAGGGCTGGAATTCTGAAAGAATAAAATCAAATGACCTAGGTGGTCATTTCACATAAAACTGCTCTTGTGATGTTTACATGAAGAACAATGTGGATCTGCTCGTGTTTTCATTTGCATGTTAATGACTTAGGAGAATCATAAATGACCTGGACATGGGTATAGGGAGGACAATTTTCACATTTGCAGATAATACTAAGCTAGGAAAAGTAGTAAACAATGAGGAGGATAGTAACAGACTGCAATAGACAGACTGGTAACACGGGCAGACACGGGGCAGATGAAGTTTAATGTGGAGAAATGCAAAGTGATGCATCTTGGGAGGAAGAATGAGGAGAGGAATATAAGCTGATGGTATAATCTTAAAGGGGGTGAAGGGACAGAGAGACCTGGGGGTCATATAGTAAACCTTTGAAGGTGGCCGGACAGGCAGATAAAGCTGTTAAAAAAGCATCCGGGATACTAGACTTTATAAATAGGGCATAGAATGCACAAGTCAGGAAGTTATGATGAACCTTTATATAAAACACTGGTTGGGCCTCAGCGAGAGACTGTGTTCAGTTCTGGGCCCCACACTTTAGGAAGGATGTCAAGGCATTGGAGAGGGTGCAGAGGAGATTGACCAGAATGGTACCAGGAATGAGGGGCTTCAGTTATCAGGAGAGGCGAGAGAAGTGAGGATTATTCTCCTTGGAGCAGAGAAGGTTAAGAGGAGACTTAATAGAAGGTTTCAAAATGATGAGGGGATTCGATAGGGTGATCAAGGAGAAACTATTCCCACTGACGGGTGGGTCGGTAACCTGAGGACACCAATTTCAAATAGTTGTTAAAAGAAACAGTGAGGTGAGGAGAAATTTTTTCACACAGCGAGTTGTTGGGATCTGGAATGCATTGCCTGAAAGGCCGGTGGGAACCGATTCAATAACAACTTTTAAGAGAAAAGTAGATAATTATTTGGGAAGGACACGTTTGCAGGGCTATGGGGAGAGAGCGGGGGAGTGGGATTGATTTGGGTAGCTATGTTCAAAGAGCTGGCACAGGTACAATGAGCCAAATGGCCTCCTTCTGTGCTGTATAATTCTATAAAAATTTTATAATTAACTCAAATATACTATAACAGTTTAAGCTACAGGCTTTAGATTTACACATTCACAATAGAAACAGTACTGAAAATACTTTGTGTTTAAAGAACTGAATTAAGTACATACATGATGATGATGACGATGATGATGATGAGCTGCTGTTCCTGTAACTGCAGTCTCCAACACTTGACTTAGGTCTTTCCATTTCTATTCCTTCATTGATGCTTCCTGTTGTAGATGCTGAACTAAACTGCAGAGTTGATGATCTTGGAAACTGGCTGCATCTCCATACTGAATCTGAATAAAAAGTGAATGCATCTGAGACCTATAGACCTGCTTTGTAACTGAACATTCATTACGAACATGTATAAGCATTTTATTAGAACTCATTTGAAGTAAATTGCACAGTTGAGTAGTCTAGAGAACAGTTCACCAGATAAATCACCTTGCCTTGAAGGAAGTTTTGAAAGCTAACACCAGTATATAAACTCAATAGCTATGAAGTCAACTTAAAACTACAGAACATAAAACATTACTAGTTTATAAAGTAAGATCAAATATCTCTGGAATTTCCATGTGTAGGTGAGATGCATGGAACTCTGTTTGGTTCAGATACTCTTAAGCACATTGATGGGTTTCTGCACGTCAGACACCCAGCTGGCCAAAAACAGGATAGTGGGCGGGTTTCTTTATTTTGGAAGAACAACGTACCTGGATTGTTACTCAAGCAATTGTTGCTGTTACTGGGAGGACAAGTCGATGCCAGTTTAGGTCTCTTGGAATCACTGATCTGAGACTGGGTTAGTCTTGTGGATGTTCCTGGGAGTCTCTCAGTTTCATTGTACAAGCTAGACGGTAAAGGTAAAGGCGTAGACAAGCAGCAAGTCTCAGTTGTGGAGGACTGTTTAAAATGAAAAAAAGTTAGTGGTTTTTCGTGAATGTTTGCCAATATATTAGTTCTATTTAAAAGGTGCAGTTTCCCACAATCTGAACACTGAGATTACCTACCATTCTACCTCTGCTCCCTGAAAGCCCCACAGACCATGGTCTTTCATATGCTCTTGAACTGTGAGTTGAAGCAGCAGCAGATAATTTCAAAAGGTGTTCACTGTGCTCCGAGTCACTAATATTGAAGTCTTGGTGGGAATTCTGGTGCAACCGAGTTGACTGGAAAGAAAACAAGCACTATAAGGTTTAGCAAAACAGAAATAATAATCCTCCTAATAAACTTCCTTGGGACGCCATCCCGATGTGAAAGGCAGATGTAATTTTGTATTGTATTTGCTGCATTTGATATAGCACCTTATCACATCGTTGAGATAACCAAAATGATTATGGAACACTTTTGCCAGTTTAAAAGGAAGAATTGTTTGGCATAACTAACATGCAATATCATGTTGCACACAGGAGAGGCAGCATGTTGTATTGCAGAGGGATGTCTACTGGCCTTTATAATACAGGTGGAATAGATTGGAATCCACTATAATAGCATTGATCCTTCAATCAAGCTTATTTAAAATAATCATTGCATTTGATGGAGCCTTATCACATAAAAACATCTCAAAGTGCTTCACGTGATTTACTGTGTAGTTGTAATTAAACTGTATTTGTTGGCTAGTTAACAGTAAATTTCACTGATTGTTGCATGATAATTAAAGAAAACACACCTGAAACTCCGCTTCCAATTTCTTTGAAGTGTCTCTCGTCCCAAAAGAGTCAGGAAGGCCATTCTCTCGGCTCTCATACAGGCGTCTTGTCCCTGATGAAGATGCTGCCAGAGGGCTTGGTGCTACAACAGGGACTCTTCGGGCTATTCTGGAGGGTTTGGGATCCATCCTTATTTAACACTATATTAATGGAGACAATGAATTAGACATTGCTGTAATTTAAGGAGACGGGGGCATTTTCTACCAAGCGATGTCACAATCTGTGTTTATAATGGGAGAGCTACATACTTAACATGATGGAAATCTAGGAGCAGACATTTTATATAGTTCATTTAATGTCACTCATATGAAATCAAAGTTCAGTTCTTGTGGTCCATGAATGAGAATGATCAGCCTTGCGAAGATCAATGTCTAAGTAAACTTCACTTACCAATTCATTTAAGGAAGAAGGAAAACAAAAAGCAAAAAATATTGATTCAGTATAGTCCAAAGTATCAAAGGCGTTTACTTCTATTGAGCAACGTATTGCAAGATTTAAGGCAAATAAAATACCAGTGTAGATCCCACATTAATTCATTGTTGATACTTGACAAGTCAGTGTGGCTTCTCAATGAGGTTTGAAAATATATTCTCATCCTTAACGATACAGGCCAAAGCTCCCAACAGCTAAGGTGATCCTAGCCGAACAAGTGTGTTCAGTGCAGCTGCTCTCCATAGAACAAGTAACCCCAGTGTGGTGGTGGTGGTGGGGGAGAAAAAGGGGGAAGGATAGAAAGAGAATGAATGACTGGAGAGAAAGTTAGAAGCTAAGTCACAGGAGATCACTAACATCTATGTAGTTACCTGGTTGAAAAACAATAATGGGAAGGACTGCAATTCACAAGCCCATAATTAGTCATGGTAGAAATGGGAGGGGTGAGCGAGCAAGGCAGAGATAATGTTTGATTGTGGTGTCAGCAAGATCACTCTGAGGTTATATGAAGTGACATTTGTGTTTTTGTCGAACCTTCACCATGTACACATTTTAAACGTGGAAAAGCAATAAAGTTTAAGATACAATGCGTCTTATTTCAAAACAGGTTAGATGCTGTAGATTTTAATGATTAGGTGTTCAATGGGATGTATGGAAGATGTGTAAATATGTAAAATATGCCAACTGTATATTTTTAACCAATCCATTTATGACAAAATGCATAATTTCTAAAAGCAACCGAGAACAGCAGCAGATAAATGTCCTGAAGTCCTCAAAACTGTTCTTATTACTTTAACCTCAATGTCGGTAAAAGCTGATGCAAGAAAGGTAAATCTATCAAGAAATCTGCCAAGTATTATGACTAAATATAGTTGCATAAGCAGTGTTTGCTTAAAAAAAAGTCGTGGACTAGGCTTGTCGGTCCACTCATTGCGAAACAATGTTAGTCACATTAGAGGAAATCAACATAAAATAGTCTAAAAAAATCAAACCATAAACTGTAGTATTGAAGAGGGAGGAGTCACAGGGAGTACTTCCTTTTCAGCTACAGATGAAAACTAACAATATACCACATCTTGTGGATCCTAGGACCTGACTATCCTGCCAGCGTGCTCTGGTAATGTCATGGACAATGTCAGGAAAGGATATCCTGAGTCAGGTTCTCAGGAGCCATGTAAGTCCATGGAAATACTTTGGGCTGCAAATGGTTCTTCATCCACAACATCACAGCAGCTGAGAACCCGGTAGTGCAGCTCTGGGACGCTACCCCGCGTGAAGTCTCTATATAAATGAAAGTTGTTGTTGTTGAAGTGCGTGCCAGACATTCAATATACACGAGGGCTCCTCACTGAAAGCATAGCTTTCTTTAAAAGGTTAAATGCAGTACAGCAGGCCCCTTAAAAGAAGCAGAATTCTCTCTCTTCTTTCCCCAAACACAAAGTACGATAGTTTTCTCCTCGTTTCTAAGGAGAATAGGTTAGACACTTGCTTCCAGGCCTCGAAAATGTCACTTTTAGCTAAAGACCGTGAACTTAAGCCAGGCACCCACGTAGTGAGCGAGCTCCTTTCCCTTTTGCCGATAAGTAGAACCTGGTCTCACTTAGCAACAGGAACATGTTTGAAATAAGGAACTGGTTTGCAGAATCACAGGCATAACACAGTCAGTTATGCAAGATGTTGGGAGGATTTTTGAAAGTTCAACAAAATGAGTAACTTAACTATTGTACTGGTTAAAGAGCAAACAAAAACAGCTCTTTTATTTATCTGGCTGCACAATTACCAACATTGGCAAACATTCAAAATTAGACTCGTTTTTCTGCAACCAAGAAACACGCCTAATAATAATCCCTCCAAAACCAAAAACAATAATAAATTGGTCATTTTCAATCTACGACTGTTTATGGGACATTGCTGTGCGCAATTGGCTGCCGCGTTCGCCCACAAATATACAGTCAATTCACTTTACAGTGTGTTCTCTGAAGCGCTTTGGGACGTCCTCCCGACGTGAAAGGCGCTTTATAAATGGAATCTTGTTGTTGTTGTGAAAAGCGCTATATCAAATGCAAGGATTATTATTATTATTAAAAACATTTGTTCATACAAGTGATGGAGGGCATTAATTTTCAATTTAAGAGCCTGCATTAGCAGGACTTGACAACATGCAGATCATTGGCTGAGAGGGAGCTGACTGCTTGTGCTTATCTAACTGGATATACTGCATCAACCCTGGCCTCTGCTTCTCCTTTCGTTTTTTAATATGATATTCAATGGAAAGCAAATGTTACTCAGCCTCATTAGCACACACATCCATCATAGCAAAACTTAGGCAAACAAAACTAGGTTTTTTTAAAAAAACACAATAACTATCACGATCTTCCTACCCGGATCATCCAGGTGATCCCATCGATGGTACTCACAGCCAACCGCGTGCATGGTCTTGACAGAATCCTTTTACCTCTATACAGGTAAAGCAACAAGTTTGTATTTGGGGTTCTCACCAGTGACAGCAGAAACAAAGTGTGGAAATCACATGAGCAAATCCCACTAAAAAGGGAAAGGATTTTTAAGGTAAATTTCTATTTTACTTCTCACTTTCTTCCATGCCCCACTTGCCAGAGTTTTGGTCAACTGAGGAGTTCAGTCCATCCAACTTGGTTAAGTTTAAAAGGAGCTGCTGCTTTGGAGCAACAACCATTTGATGGGGGAAAATTCAATAGTGGTGATAAAGCAGTAATGCCCAAAATTCACAAAATCACTCTGAGAACACATTAGAAACCCAAAATTCCTCACTGCAATTTAAACATTATTTTACTTTCTAATAAAGTAGAAAATACTTGGCTCAGTCCTCCAGATTGTCTTCTCTGTCAAGTACTCAGATTACTGCACGTACACCCACACAAACCACCAACTTAAGTTTTAAGAAAGTTGCTAGGATCAGCAACATCCCAAATGTCACTATATACTCTTGGGTACTAACACTGATAGCTTGCAAGCCATTCAATAGTAATGCCTTTTAAGATGCTAGCTGGTCAGCCATTTTAGGTATCTGCTCAATGTCATAAACTTACCTTAAACATTTCTTCATAAATCTGCACTAATCTAGAACAAATTAATGGTGACATTAAAACAGATTCCTCCCTTCCTTTACTACTTGACCAACATGTCAATTACAACATTGACTAGTTTATACAATTGTTGATAAATAACCCAATTACAGAAAGTTAGATGCCAGCCTAACAAAATATAAACCAAACCGTACATTTGTTTAGAAATGAACATTAAGTTGACTTTTTACAATACCCCTCCCAACCGATCTCCTCAGCTATTTTCATGATCAGAAGACCTTGCCCTCTGGCAATCTACTACTGCTAAAAGGCCAGGCCATTTTCCTGCTCATTTGGTTCAGAGATAAAGCAAATGAAGTCTAAACTAATTTTAAAGAAAGACACCTATAGAGTATCATCTTCACAGAGTATCTGACCCAACATTAACTCACCACCAATCCTGTAATTCACATACAACAAATCAGTCCATTTTTTAAAATTAAAAACACCCGAATGTATACATATACCATATATTCAGTGATCCATTTTCACTCAATTTTTCAGGTCATAGAATCATATAAAACTTATTTTAAAAAGGCAACCATTTCCTTTTTAGCGTAAACTAACCACAACACACTTCCTGAAAAGAGTGGAGGAACCTTGGCCTTTATACTCACCAACACACACACACCAATACACAGACACCCTTCACCCCCAGCACACAGGACACACTCACACACAACAAAAACAACTTACACTTATATAGCGCTCTCCATACACGATAGTGACTCAGAGCGCTCAAATACACACACACCCCAACCTTCCAACACACACACAGCCCCCCCATACACACCCCCACACACACCCCCCACACACACACCCCCACCCCCACACACAGACCCCCACACAGACCCCCACACACCCCCCCCACACACAGACCCCCCACACAGACTTCCCCCCCCACACAGACCCCCCCACACAGACCCCCCACACACCCCCACCACCCCCCACACACACAGACCCCCCCACACCCCCTCACACACCCCCCACACACACACACACACCCCACAACCCCCCACACACAGACCCCCACACCCCCCACACCACACACACACACACACACAACCCCCCACACACAGACCCCCCCACACAAACCCCCCTCCCACAGACAGACAGGGCCTCGGCTGCTCCACCCCCAGAGAATTGTATATAAACGTTCAGTAAAACCAACCTCCGGCGCTGCCCCACAGCCTCTGTGTGTGTGTGTGTGTGTCCGGGGGGGGGGGGGGGGCACTAACAGCCCCTCCCCGCGGGCTCGCGCTGACTGATCGCCACCATCGCTTAATGGCGTCGCCAGATTGGGTCACAGGCACGTGATCACCGCACTTCCGGCTTCCCTTCCCCCTCTGTGACGTCACAGGACCATGGCCAGTCATTGGGCAATGGGGGGTCAATGGGCATTGGGGGCAATGGGGTCAATGGGCAATGGGGGCAATGGGGTCAATGGGCATTGGGGGCAATGGGGTCAATGGGCATTGGGGGCAATGGGGTCAATGGGCATTGGGGGCAATGGGCAATGGGGGGTTTATGGGCCGCGGTTGGTCCACAAGTTACAGAGTCAATCCATTTTACAATATATTCAGTGAAGCGCTTTGAGAGGTTGTCTTAATGACATGATGAGGCGCTATATCAAGTGCAAAGATTATTGTTATTATTTCACATGGCCCCTACAAGGTGTCATAGTGCTCCTCAAGGAATCTGGGTGAAGTGTGGTGACTGTGCATTTATTTGTGGTGCCGGCATGTGTGGCAGCCGATTTGTACAAGGCATTGACCCAAATAAGCAGCCTTGAAGCGAATGACGTATTTATGAGGAGGAAGGAAGCCAGGACACTGGGAGAAACTCTCTTCAAATAGTGTCATGGGATCTTTTAAATCCATCATAGCAGGCAGACAGGAACTTGGATTAGATGTCTTATCCAAAGGACAGAAGCTTGAACCTACAATCTTCTGGAACCTTCTGGTCAAAAGGCGAGAGAGCTACCAACACAGCATGCCGCAAACCTAACCGGTAAAATAGATTTAGATAAACATCTTTCAATTGAATGAAGTGATTCTGGGAACCTCTCTGTATAATTATTGCACACATTATTGAATAAAGACTCAAAAGTGGGACTTTAAAAAAGATGGATACATTAGTGTCTGCCTAGCAAATGGTAGCACTCGCTTCTGAATCGGAAGGTTGTGGGTTCAATCCCCAGGTCGGGATTTGCAAACATATAGTCTAAGCTGATGCTCCAATGCAGTGCTGGGGCGGGGGTGTTGTGTTGTCGGAGGTGCTATCGGTTGCGATGTTAAACCAAGCTCCCATCTGCCTGTTCAGGTGGGTGTTAAAGGTCCCATGGCGCTATTGGAAAAGATAGTTTCACCCTACCAATGTCCCTGTCAACAATACCCCAATAAAATTTGGCCACTCACATCATGGCTGGAGTGGGACATTGCTACGTGCAAAACCGGCTGCCAGGTTTTGCCCACAAAATTCACAGAAAATCCACGGAGTGGGAAATGGGCTGGGTCACTCGGCTGTGAAGCTGCTTCTACCTACAGGATGCTGAGCGACAGGTCAGAGTAGGCGGGAGCCCTCCCTCCTAGCAGCCAATGCCATGTTTGCCACAAACCCACCGCACTGCTTGTCCTGGACTTGGCAAATGTGCTGGAGAAAGCCTCTGCTGTATCCCCAGGAGCATGGATCTATAAAGGAGGGTTCTTTGCACACAGGGATTGCATGCCGCAAGCCTAACCTGTAAAATAGAGTTAGATAAACATCTTTCAATTGAATGAAGTGATTCTGGGAAACTCTCTGTATAAACCAGAAGTATCATATTTAGTTCATGTCATCATGACCTAAAATGATCATAATCTCAAAGAATTGCATAGAATAAACGGGACTTGAGAAAAAAAATTGAACTGCAGTAACACAACGTTGTTAAATATCAGATTTTGAGGGGGAGAAAGCGTGGTGATAACTGTCATCTACATTTGTCTACGTGGCAAGTTCTCAATCTCAATTGTGCCACAATGGAGAAGGACTGAGAGCAAATCAGGTGCTTTCTAAAAAGGAAAAAATAAAGGGATTGTCAAGCTTTTACATACATCGTATTAACCAGCAATACAGCAACATTGGCAGAGGAGACTCCATAAAGGAAACCAGGGGAAGCAATTTCTCCAGTTTTCTAGTTTTCCACATACTGTACTTCATGTTGGTCTTGGTATTGGATAGCAGTCTATTCAGATCTATTTTATACTTCAATATCGTGCTTGTTTCATTCACAATCATACTGTATGTAGAGTGAAAGGTAATTTTTTAGTTTGTTTTTGTTATAACAATAATAATCCTTCCTATGATGTCATCGAGATGTCTCAAAGCGCTTCACAGAATACACTGTAAAATGGATTGACTATATTTTGTGGGCGAAATACTGTTATTGTTATTGAATAGATAAGAAGTCTCCATTCATACTAAATAATGGGGAAAATAATATTAATGTTTCTGAATCTGCATAACACGGAAAAGGCCAAAATGACTGAGGTTTTCATGTTTGTATTCAGTATTATGTAGCAACTTCTAAATAGCAGTGAAAATAATCCTTCACAATTGGCAAGATAGTTAGTAAAGCAAATATATATAACAGTGGATGTCTGGTGATCCTTTGACAAACTACACTTGGAAATTTGGAACTAATGACATAATGGCTAAATTAGAATCTGCAGATTGCATTTTGTTTCTTATTAAACTTTTTAAAGCTTCTGTCTCAAGATCTCTGTTACCCTCTTCATAACTGCAAGAGTAAAGGGACAGTTCTCTTTGAAAGCATTCACTGAAGGCCTCCTCGAGATAAGGCATCGATAGACGGTAGAGACAATACCCTCATGAACATATTCCAACTAGTCTATTTGAATGAGTCCTCCACAGGACACTTATCAAGAAATCGCCATAGCAGGCATGTGTAAAATAATAATAATCATGTGAATAAGGGTGACCTTTAACATGCATTTCTAAATGGGCAGTTTTCTCAAAGTTTCATTGTTCCATAGACTTGAAATAATTCTGCTAAAAAGCAAGAACCTAATTAAGATGTTAACTTGGACAACAGAAATTCCAATTCACAATAATATTTTCAGATACATCTAGGCAGCATGAGAAGTTTCAGGATTATGAAGAGCAGTTTTATGACAAGGTATTTGTTTACACAGAGGGTGTCCTAATCCCTCACCCTTAGCGCTTCTTTGCCGTTTTCCAGATCATGCCGGAAGACCTTCCTCTTCCTCTCCTCTGTGCCAGGCTTCGAAACTCTACCCTGTGTAAAGGGCACTATATATGAATCCAAGTTATTGTTGTAGAAGAAAATTATTCTTTTCTGAGTTGGAATTTGAGTCTACACCGTGAAAGGATTCTTCCATAAAACATCTGAAAGAATTTAATTTCCCTTACACAGAGACCCTATTTTCTCATTAATGAGCAGAATAGAATCATATGATAGATTTACTGCTGTATTTGCATTTCATCTTTTTCCGTTTGCAATTGCTTTTGTTTTTTGCAGGCTAAATTACTGGAATATGTTTATTTACTATCGCAAATTCTTTTTTAAATGAGTTTAAAAAATTACAGCCTTTCCAACAATGCAAATAAATCACTATTCCTGATGGTGTTGAGTCCATTAATTTAATTTCAATCCAATTTATTTTTCACAGAAACATTGTCACAGAAAACAGCTGATGAGATTTAGGGATCATGAAAACCCATGGAAATGGGTTTGCTAATTGGAGCAATGGTTCAGCATCAAAGTGCTTGTTGCTGAGATTAGTGACACACATTGAACAGCAGCACCCAGAGGGAATTGGTGTAACTACTCTTTATTAGTAAGAATCAAACTGTAGGAAATGGAGGCCCAGAGGAATCACGTTATAAAATTGAGGAAACAAGTGAGAAATATAAGATCTAACATTTTTATAGGTGTATAACCCATTCAATAGCTGAAATAAATATATTGAAAAACATCTCATTAATTACTTATTTACTCAACAATCATCAGAAAATATCCCAGAATACGCACACTGAGTGACATTAGGATTGTGGATAGATATTCAAGATATCCAGGTAACAGTGTCAGCAGTACAACATCAACAACAACTTGCATTTATATAGTGCCTTTCGCATGGGGCAGTGTCTCAATGCGCTTAAATATAATAAATATAAGTTAAATTGCAACAGTAAATTTAACAATCAAAGCTGGTCAGCGCTTTGGGACGTCCTCCTGACGTGAAAGGCGCTATACAAATGTAATCTTGTTGTTGTCGTTGTAGTAATAGGGATGTGATGTAGAGAAATAAATGAACAATTACAGTAGTAACAACAACAGCGTTACATTTGTATAGCGTCTTTCACGTCGGGAGGATGTTCCAAGGCATTGAACAAATTATGGAAGGCAAGAAAATTGTATTTGGTACTTGTAAAAAATTATGAATTTAAGTTTTCTTTTGGTTATCGGAATACATGTGCTGATATTCAAGTTAAAGTAACTTTTTAAAAAAAATTGTTTTCTCAAAAAGTATTTGCATAACTTGCATAACTGCATATGACCGTTACATTGCTATTTCAAAGAGCCAGCGCAGACACGATGGGCTTGAATGCCCTCTCTGTGATGTAATGTTCTATGGTTCTAATCAATGGACAAAACCTTAGTTTTTCTTGAAAAAAATCTTTATTATTAAAATCCAACGGAAACACAGTAATTGAGCTTTTTCCACGTTCAATAAAATATCCAACAAAAAAATGTGCCAGAAAAACAGATCTTTCTTTTTGTAGATTTTGCACCCAATTTTATTGCTGTACTCTTCTTCGGGAAGATTACTTAAAATATCAGTTAAACAATTGAATGGTTGTTAAACAATTTATTTGGATTGTGTAATTCATTTTATATAACTAATGATAAAAACACACAAGCCATTTTGTATATTCTATGCATCCAGAAGTCTGATTGAATACATAACGATGGTTAGTATTGAATACAAAATGTAGGTATTATATAAAAAATTCAATCAAATGATAATTAACCCATGTAACAGATCTTCTCATTCCTGGTTGATTTATTAGTATTCAACTTCACACCTGTTGATTAACCAATCATACCTCATATTCCATCTCTTCATTCTCTACCAATATACAATCATCTGTAATTCGTTCCGTTGGATCATATTGAATGGCATTAAGCCCATTTGGAGAAAGACATTTCCTCTTATATGCGTACCAGGAAACTAACAAAATGATCAGCAAAATTGCGGATGCTGTGATGACCAGGGCTGTTGACAGTATATTTTTGTTGCCTGTAAAAAACAATAGAAAGCTGGTCAAAAATAACATTATACAGTTATCTCCAAAAGGGACAAGTACCCAATACTAGTGTGCAAACTGGCCGTGTTATCTCAGACATTATATTGAAATAATATCAGCACCTTGGGATATCCTCCTGATGTGAAAGGCACTTCAGAAATATATTTTGTTGTTGTATGTTTGGAGAAGGAGTTGATATTTAATTGTATAGATTGAAACAAAAACGATCTTGGTGTCAGACAGACAGCCTTGTAGCTAATTTGTCTCATAGGAATAAAGTGTCACCTTTCTGTGGTGTTGTTCACATCTCTTTTAAGTACAACAAAAACTCATTACAAATAAATTCTCCTGATTTTCTTTTTATGTGGGTTGAGTTTTTTTTTCCAGTGTTTACAATGTCAGCTGGGTATTGATGAAGACACTTAGCGTTTGGGATTTACAGGAGTTTTATTAGTTTTGTAGGCAGATGGCAATCAATTATGTTGTTAATAAATAGGTTGGAATATGTGTAAGATACAAATTCCTGGTCACTAATTTACAGTTAACCAAAAACCTGGTGCTGTTTCTTCCTTCTTCATGGCCTGGAAATGCCTGTCTGTCTCCTCTCCTGCAGTTACTAATCTCCTGACGGAGTTCGTTATGCCTTCACTAATCCGTTCTAACACTATCTCATCAATCTTCTTTTCTCCAATGACAAGTTCAATTGTGGAGCCCTCCTAATAGCTTAGTTTAAAGTTTTGCAATTTCTCTTGTTGCTATTCTCTGAATCCTCTCCAATGAATTAATGTCCTCCTGAAGAAAGCCTCAAACTAAATACAATATTACAGAGTTAAAATAATCTGCCTGCATGTCACATTCTCATGCCAACATCCATGAGCATCCACACAAAGAACAATAAAAATATACTCAAAGACATTCAACCAATTATAGCTGTTTAATAATACTCCTTGCATTTCATATATAGCGCTTTATTGTGTCGTTAAGACTTCTCAAAGCGGTTCACAGGATAAAGTGGATTGACTACATTCTGTCGTGAAATGCGGCAGCCAGTTTATTCACAGCAATATGCCACAAACAGCTGTGGAGTGAGTGACCAATTATATTTTGTTGGGGATTTGTTGACTAGGACACTTAGAGAGAGAAACTCCCTTCTCTTTTCAAATAGCACCATGGGATCTTTAACGTCTACCTGAACAGGCAGACGGGACTTTGTCTCATCTGAAGGACAGCAATTCCAACAGCACAACACCCCCATCGCTGCATTGGAGAGCCATCTTAGACTGTGTAATTTCAAGTCCTGACATGGGGCTTAAATCCACAACCTTCAAGAGTCAGAATGAAACACGGTTGATGAATCTATGCTGCGCTGAAGTACATGCAAAACCAATAGAATTTAGGTCCACGTGTAATTTAGATTAGAATTTGGCCTTTTATACTCCTAGGGAGAGGGGAAGAGGAGGGAAGAAATCACAATGCAAGTTAATTACACACGTTAGTTGCCTACTTCTGAATTTCTGGCTACAAAAGACCATTGAGAAACTGGGATCAAGAATTTTACCAACTGGAAGCAAGGTGTGAGGTAAAAGAATCAGTGAGTTTCTGTTAGTACGAAAACTGGGTCAAGAGATTATTAAATCACCAAACAAATAGGCCGGACTGAGGAACAAAGAGAAATCTGTTTAGTGAGATACTGCAAAAAGGGGAATGAATGGGAGACTTAATGAGACTGGTACTGAGAAACCACGAGCTGAGAGAGAGCCCGACTTGTAGTGAAAAATGCCTTTCATAAGAGATAAATATGGAGTTGGTAACAGGAAACGGCAAAAACAAACAAGATTTTACATAAATAATAGAACGAACAGCTTAATATTTCCTGGGTAGAGTACAGGACACCAGACACTGGAAGCACTGGTTTGTCAGTTTATCCTGTCACTGGAATAAGTAGCACGGTAGCTTTTCACAAATAGTAAACGAGTTTTCAATTGTTGACTAAATAGTAATGCACTTTCTTCTTGTTTTGCTAATCCTTTCCTACAATGTGTATCTGCAGCCAGACGCCACTCAAGACAATCTGCCCCCATTATACCACCTGCCACCCAACACCATCTTCCCCCCTACATTATCTGCCATCTTAGGCAGCTGCCTGGTTTTTCCTACAATATATTAAAAATAATCCTTTCATTTAATACAACGCCTTATCACATCCAAAGACGTCTCAGAGCGCTTCACAGAATACACTGTAAGGTGTAGTGACTATGTGTTTTGTGGCAGGCGAAACCCCCCCGAATGGTCAAAAGAAGCGGTCCCACAGCTGGAGCAGCTTGTGCCGCAGCTGTCTGCTATCTCATTGTCCGTCTAACATGTGAGCCTACAGTCAATGTGGGCAGTGTAAGTCCGATCCTATTCTCAATTGAGATCCAACATGTCCCCAAAGGAGCTCAATCATTACTTTCCCATTTCCCAGCTCAGGATTACAAAGACAAACTATAGCCCTGGTTAAGATCAGTTCCTCCTCACACACTTTCCTACATCCTTTGGTTTAAACAGCTTTTATACTTGGTTTTATACGTAGTCATTAAATAATCTGGGAACCTCTGATCACATATTTCATACATTTCCTTATTGAATCTAATAGTTCAAAGATTGTTGTTTCATATTGTTATGTTTAATAGTAACAAAACATACATGAGTAAACATCTTTGAAAACTCCTGAGAGTACGTACTTTGACATTATTGGAGAATTGAGAAATAGGTATTTATACACTTACCATTTGAACATGCATCTTCATCAGGGACAGCTACTGTAAAACGAGAAAATGTGTTGACTTAATAGTAAATCTATGTGACAGCTGTATTTGTGACTAGCACGCGGACGGCTAGATTTCCCCCCAATCACTCTACAGTGTAATCAACAGGTATTGAGGAATCATTGAAATAACTATCCAGGTGCACTACGTGTTATGTGTAAACGTTGTGTTCAGATTAATCCAATCTAATGAATTCATTTTGTAATTAGCAAGTAATGAAAATAATTGTCTGAATTATGTAATTAATAACCATTCCGCTACATATCAGTTTTGCTGCCGCAAATGTTCCGGTCATTGTACATGGGCCTGAAATACAGTACCAAAATTTTGCATAAAGTCAATTCACCAAAAGATCAGCTTTGTTGTTTTGTTTTAAATAATGGAGAGTGAAATCCTTTCATTGATGATGTTACTGTTTTCTGCTATACACAGCATGTATATGGTGGTGTGTGTCTGTGAGTGAGTGAGAGAGTGAGTGTGAGAGAGTGTGAGAGTGAGAGAGTGAGTGTGTGAGTGTATGTGAGTGGGGGGGTAGAGTTTATCCACAGATCCTGCTTTCACAGACCACTCCTGAGTAAGCTGAGAAACAAAGCAGGTCACAGACTGAACTTACATCAGCATCTTTCTCACTTAATCTCCAATCTTTCAGCGCCTTGGGATGTCCTCGCGATGTGAAAGGCGCTATACAAATGTAATTTTGTATTGTATCTTTCATGGTTTCACTCAACATCAGATCTTTTGTGGGCTCTTGCGATTCTTCCCTACTTCATTGATCTTGTCATCATCAATACCCAAAACAACGTATTTAAATAATTTTTAGACTGATTTCCTCTCATTAATAGATTTTGATATATTACACATTTAATGAATACTTTAAGTTAAAGTAGAATAACAACAATCGTATGCTTGAACAGACCTGATAAAACAATCCCTTATTTTTCATTAATGTGCTTAGGTATTTCACAAAAGTACTGTTGTGAAGATTACAGTTGCTGGGATGAAATACTTTATAATGTTGCTATCTATTTCAGTTCTCCTAATCACAACCCACATACACTTACTATATTCTAACTTCAAATGCTAACTTAAGGTTGACTTGTGCTGTGTTTTACGAAGTTTTGTGATTCCTTCCTGTGTCCACTTGAAACTTGATTGAGACTATTCAAACATATTTCACATAGGAACGCCTCACAATGAATAGAAAAGACAGAAGATTTTCCTCCCATCACTCTGGACTCAAACCCAGGTGCCAGATGTGAGATGACAGAGTGCTAACGCACTTGCCCAGTCTCACCACGGGTTAAACATTTCACATGAACCCTGAAGGGACAAAATGTCAAATTTTATTTCAACTGGAGGACTACAGTAATAACAGCTTTTCAAACCAAGTTACGATGACAATAGCCAATGGCTGCTGATCTCATACAATTTATTCACACCCATGACCTTCTCAAACAGCAAACAAAAGTTGGGACTGTCCTCAGTAATTCAGCACACTATTCAGGACCAGTAAATACAGACATCAATCCCAAGACAATCTGTATAAAAGAACTCACAATACATACAATGGAACCAGATGTCAACAGAATACATCAGAAATTAATGCCTGATCATTTAGGAACACTTAAAATATATTGAAATAATAATCCTTGCATTTGATGTTTCATGTTGAGGGACTTTCCCAAAGAGCTTCACAGCATTTATTGTAAAGTATAGTGACTGTGTGTTTAGTAGGTGAATGCGGCAGCCAATTTGCTCACAGCAATGTCCCACAAAAAGCCATGAAGTGAATAACCTAATTTTATCCATTTTGTCAATTTCTATGGTAAAAGACAACGACAACAAAATTACATTTATAGAGTGCCTTTCACATCGGGAGGACGTCCCAAAATGCTGGTGTATTGTTTAAGTTAAATCATACTCACATACTGTTGTATCACAGATGATTGACTTTCCAAGTTCCTCGTCACAATAAACGGTTTTCCACTGTCTTGACTGTGTCTCTACAACAGCACAGGTATCAATACTAGTTGTGTCTTCATTAGGCTCTCCAGGAACCCAATTTGAGTAATTTACAGCAGAACGATCATGCCATCTGAAAGTATCAGCTGAAAATAAAGTTTATGACACTAAAGTAAAAATTTACATATTTCTAATCAATTTATACACACATAGCAAATCAGTAACCTTTTCATGTGAAATTTTGGAGGGTTCATCAAGGAGAAAGATATCAGTGTAAATTGCAACAGATTTTCATATTAGGCGCTCAATGTTAGAATCAAGTACCTCAAATAAAGGTCTGCAAAAATACCTGAGTCCCAGGAAACACTTACATTTTTATAGCACCTTATTGCAAAAGTATCAAAATGCTTCACAGATTATCAATGGCAAATGTGGAAGCTATTTTCAGCAACAAAGACCCACAAACAGCAAACCGGTGAATGACTGACTAATTAATTACTGACCAGGGCATACCTTGTCAACAATCCTCCTCTAGGATAGGGTTGTGCAATCTTTACCATCATCAGAAAACGCAGGCGAGACTTCAGTTTAATGTGTGATTTGTAAAATGGCAATTCTAATAATGCAGCCTTCAACTAGTGTGGCCTTTCAGTGTCAGCTTCAATTTGAACTCAAGGCCAACATAACATGGAGCTTGACTCACAATGTTCTCAGCCAGAGGCAAGAGCATTGCCCACACTGAGCCAAGCGCACACACAGCACAGCATTCACTCTTCATTTCCTTGCCAGCCTTCGTGAGCCAATGGCCAATTGAATGTCATTCAGTACTGAGTTGTGGGCAGTTTTGTTATATACTCTGATAACAGTCGAGATATCAATCTGGGGTGGACTAAAAGTCAAGTTCCAAAGATAGAAGAGCAAAAGTCTATCCCGATTGGCTGCCTCTATTACGCAATCTTTCTATAGAAATGTAAACGGCAAACTAATCTATTATTATTGAATGTAACTTTTTTTATTTCCCCATTTCCTCATCAAAGAACATCTCTTCTCCAGCTCAGTGGATAGAACACAGTCGGCCATAAATTTCTCCACAACTTGCTGCCAATCATGTGACCGCCAGCTGCATTTCCCATTCAGGCAGAATGAGCTAAATAAAGCAACCTGTGCTTTTCTATGTATTGCTATCATGTATTCTACATATCATCTCCAACTCAGTGGACGGAACACTCTGGATTTTGTCCTATAGAATAAACAAGTATTATTTGGCTAAACCGGTGACTGGCATTAACAATGCACAGACTTTACAGTAATAGACTAATGATATATTTACTCTGATTATCTTTAGAGTTTTGTGTTTGGGTAAAGTTTACTTGGAACCTTTGACCTCAGACGTACATTAACTGCACAGAAAATATCAACTAGAAAATGACTATAAGAATTGGGACATTCTTCTTCACCATTGCCTTGGCTTTTGTGTTGTAAGGGTATCTTTTTAAACATGGGTCGAGAAAAAAAGCAGTATATTTTACTCATTAGTACCTGCTGCTTAAGTCTTCAAATTGTAATTCAGTATAGGGAAGAGAAATATAGGAAGAGAAAAAAGCATTAATCTATTATGAAGAAGATTAATGTTGAGGTATTTCCCAAAGTTTGAATAATTTGTAGCAGATAATAATATTACATTTGATATAGCCCCTTACCATCTCTTCGATAAGTCTCAAAGCGCTTCACAGGATATACTGTAAAGTGAATTGACTGTATATCTTGTGGGCGAAATGCGGCAGCCAATTGCGTACAGCAACGTCCGACAAACAGTTGTGGATTAAGAAATATATAAAGATATATAAAGACAGAGAGTGTGGGAATTAAAGTTTTAAAATGCATCTATGTTTAATTTAAAGTTCTAGCAAACAGAGTATTTGACATGATTAAAGATGAACTTTATTGTCTTCAATAGAATTTCATATCAAAGTGTCTGGCTTCGAGCTTGATTAGGTTCATGTTTTTGCTGTGTGTTGTTCTGCAGTCATTGCTTCCAACTCATCAGATTGATAAATTCTTTAATAATTACTAGAGACAAACAGCCACAGCATTTGACATTGCAAACTGCAATGTGACTAGAAATTCTCTCATCAAAACAATAATTTAATGATATATGTCAAAAAATTCTGTATTACATTTCAAATTCACCATTTGCCATGGAGTTTTCTGATTATGTCAAAAGCATCTCATTGGCTGAATTAGACCACAAATGACAAAGTGCTTTATGTAGGAATGTAAACAACCCTGTTAAAGTATTTGACACATTTTCCACACAAAATAGCACATGAAAATATCAAAACTAATATATTATCTCAAATATAACAGAACTAACAGACACTGATTTATAGTGTAATGCTGTAACAAGGGTGAGGGAGTCTGGGATTGTTCTTCATTATATCACAGGACCCGCAGCATAAGTGGTTATTGTAATTGAAACAATATTAATCCAATCCTTTGGGGAAATTAAGATAAAAAGAAAACAATGGCAATTTAGAAATATGCAATAAAACCCCCAAAAAGCTGGAGATTCATGGCAGCTCAATCAAGATGTGAAAGAGACATGGGTAGAAATTCTCTCTATGCCTATAATTAACCTTTTGTTTAGCATTATTGAGTGTCCAGAATTTTGCAAATTCCTAAAACACAGTCTTCATTTTGAAGCTAATTTTCCAATAAGAATTACAGTAAATTGGCCTCAAAGTTTACACTGAATTCAACAATTGCCAATTTTTTTTACGCTCTGAAACACTGAGAAAATAGAGTAAAACTTGAGCCAAATAGAATTTCTCCCTAATGTGTGTACATTCAGGGTACAATCGCTCATCAGAGGTAAAGTGACAATTAGGACAATTAGAGGTAAAGTGACTGGGTGAGAAATTCTGGGACACAGAATGTCTTGGTTTGCTCTGTCCTGTTTAGTTGTGAGGAAAGGGTCACTTGTGAAAAGTCTGTATATTTACAAATACAATTGTTAAACAGCTCAGACACATTCTATTGCAACCAATAACAGTAACTATTTGTGTTTATGTAGCGCCTTTCACATCGGGAGGAGGATTTATCAAAATACCTACAAAAAAGAATGTACTTACTGTCTGTATCAAACAGAATGCCCAACCAAATCTCTCCAGGTTTCTGCACAAGTTGTTTAAAATGATCAACGATGAACGCGTTTTCTTCTTTGTCACGTACACTGACAACATCAGCACCTGGGGCTGACGAGGAAGTAATTAGTTACAAATAAAATGTATTTAAGAGAGATAATAAATGAAGGTAGAAGATACATTTAAATTTATTTCCAAGAATATCTTCTAATCTGTAAGTGTAATTGAGATTATTCGCAGATATACAGATTATAACAGATTCGCCCCCAAATATACAGTCAATTCACTTTACAGTATATTCTGTGAAGCGCTTTGAGACGTCGAGAAGATGTGAAAAGCGCTATATCAAATGCAAGGATTATTATTCTTATATGTGCTCCTTAATTGTGTGTCAAAAGTCAGATCTTGGGTTAAGCAGGATGACACATGTAGCATCAACACTTATATACTGCATCTGAAAAGCAGCTTGTTTTATATAAGCTTCCTTATATAAGATGTTGTACAACAAATAAGCAAGAACTTGTGACACTTAATCATGACACTTAATCAAAATGATCATTGACAGATATTTATAAAGCTATACAATACCACTGGTTTTGCAGATTTCCTGGGCCTTTTCGAGATTGTAGCCATTTCCTGATGTCGGGATGAAAGTGTACCACTTGCTTCTAAATGGAATCCATGTGACTTTAGAATCAAAAGGGCAGCCTTCGGAGAGGAGAGTTCCTGGTTATTTGAAGCCGTAATAATAGGATTATTCTGTTACACTGCAGTTGACCATCGAGGACCAATTTACCCACAAGAATTTCAACATGCCTACACTCCCAGGCCTTACTGATTGACCAGATATTTTGATCAACCATAAACAGAGGTTTTCAATTCCTCTGTACTTGCCTCTAAGGCATTTCCAGAAAACCCTATGTCCCACTCCCACAGGGAACAGGCCTTTAACATTGAGGCAGAAAGATGGAGTTCAAACCTAGACAGTCCTTAAAACACTGAACATAAGGAGGTGAACAACTCATTGTTAGTTTTATGGCAAAGAGGTTTTTTTAAAACTTTTACTCACTCAATCCACCCATGGTCAAGTCCAAATAAACAGGACAGATCTGATAAACAAATTGTAAACAAGAGGGGTCAATCTACAAACTTTAAACATTCTTATTTTTACTTTGCTGTAGCTAATTTATAGTTATTGCCCTGTTTTCTCACAGAATAATAGAATGTGGTAACTGATGACTTAATAATCATTGGACATGTGGCATTTCTTTACCATAAAATGTAAATGTTAGATGCTTTTTGACAACAGAGAAGTTCACTACATTCCATATATATTTGAAGATCAAAAACATATTAGTTTTGCTTGGGTCATTTGTGAGTTTGTGAACTGTTTACTTGGCTGAATGTTTCCCCTCTAGATGGTGACTTACAGGAGTTCCTGAAATCTTAAACTAAACGTTGTTTTAGTTAGTATAAAGTTGGAATAATTTGTGAAGGTTTTTGCCCCCAGATTGTCACATCAGGCAATCAGCCAAAGCCATGTGAGGTTCAGGGGCAACAATCCTGACAGCCGGAGCCTGGCCCAGGCAGCCCCCCCCCCCCAGAGCAACAGACAAACACAGCATCCCAGACAGTCACATACTGGGGGTCACTACCCCACAAACACATTGCATTGGGAAATGGGAGGGGAGGGGCTGGGGGGGTGTTGGGGACTGGGGCTGGGGGTTGGGGGGCTGTTGGGGCCTGGGGGGTGTTGGGGGCTGGGTTGGGGGGTGTTGGGGGCTGGGGTTGGGGCTGGGCTGGGGGTGTTGGGGGCTGGGGTTGGGGGGGTGTTGGGGCTGGGGGGATGTTGGGGCTGGGGGGGGTGTTGGGGTTGGGGGGTGTTGGGGGCTGGGGGGGTGTTGGGGTGGGGGGGTGTTGGGGGCTGGGGGCTGGGGGGGTGTTGGGGGCTGGGGTGTGTTGGGGCTGGGGTTGGGGGGTGTTGGGGCTGGGGTGGGGGGTGTTGGGGGTGTTGGGGGCTGGGTGGGGGTGTTGGGGGTTGTTGGGGCTGGTGGTGGGGGGTGTTGGGGCTGGGGGGGTGTTGGGGCTGGGGGGGGTGTTGGGGGCTGGGGGGGGTGTGGGGGCTGGGGGGTGTTGGGGTGGGGTGGGTTGGGGGGTTGGGGGGGTTGGGGGTGTTGGAGGCTGGGGGTTGGGGGTGTTGGGGGTTGGGGGGGTGTTGGGGGCTGGGGGGGTGTTGGGGTTGGAGGGTGTTGGGGTTGGGGTGTGTTGGGGGCTGGGGTTGGGGGTGTTGGGGCTGGGGTTGTGTTTGGGGCTGGGGTTGGGGGTTGGGGGTTAAGGGGTGTTGGGGCTGGGGGGGGTGTGGGGGCTGGGGGGGGGTGTGGGGGTTAGGGGGGCTGGGGGGGGGGTGTTGGGGTGTTGGGGGCTGGACCTACTCACCCTGTTGACCTGCAGTGATTGAGGAGAGAAACAAACAGCTGACAGTCACCCACAAGGAGAAAGTTGGAGTCCTCATGAAGTCCATGGTATAAAGTTTTTGCCCTCAGGATGTGCTCAGAGTTTTGGGGGAAGTTTTCCTGTGACTCGTGAAGGTTTGAACTTCAGATGCGTCATGTGTGCGTTGCTGTGTCATGATCTGGCAGGAGATGTCTGTGTGTCACAGCCTCACAGACGAGCCTTTACTGTAAAACTTCTAAACTGGTGAGAAAATCCTCGGTTGACACTCTGCCCACTCGCAGCCCGACTGCGGATCAGTGACAGCACCTGTGGTTACTGCTGGTGTGAGGCAGGGCGTTAGTCTGGCAAGTCTGCAGGGGGTTGTGACTGTCTTGTGGCAGCAGATAAGGCAGAACATTGGCAAAGCCAGACTTTGAGGAAACTGCAACTGAAAAAAAACTTTATAATAGCTTAGGATAACTTTAGAATAGTTTATTAAAAAGTTTCAAAGTGCTTTGCAATTTATCCGAATTGGCAAGTGGAGTACCGTAACGCAGTGGTTAGAGCACTCGCCTCGCAAGCCAGAGGACCTGCGCTCAATTCCCGGGCAGTTCCCTTACTCCACACACCTCTGTTTACCAATAAATAGGAACCTGATTGTTTGTCGATTGGCGGATCGCTTTCCAGGGGTAACGATCCCTTCAATCCATTATTGTTCTTTTTTTAATAATAATCCTTGCATTTGATATAGCGTTTTTCACGTCGGGAGGACGTCCCGAAGCGCTTCACAGAACACACTGTAAAGTGAATTGACTGTATTTTTTGTGGGCGAACGCAGCAGCCAATTGCGCACAGCAATGTCCCACAAACAGTCGCAGATTGAAAATGACCAATTTATTATTGCTTTGTTTTGGAGGGATTATTATTAGGCTCTGTGTGGAGTAAGGAAACTTGCCCAAGGTTTCGCCCTCTGCCTGGAATTGAACTCAGATCTCTCACTTGCAAAGCGAGTGCTCTAACCACTGAGCTACAGGACTCCACATGCGCTGGAGGCCTGGCTAGGAATTGCACTCTCAGCCACGTCACTCAAACTACAGATTTCTGCAAAATAAATAGTAATAATAATAATCCTTGCATTTGATACAGCGGCTTATCAAGTCTTCCAAATGTCTCAAAGCGCTTCACAGGATACACTGTAAAGTGAATTGACTGTATATTTTGTGGACAAAACCCAAAAATAGTGCCCATCAGTGGAACTGACATTATGCAATTATTCCAATTCCTGTATCTAATTTCTCTCTGTGTTTGTAGAGTGTTGTTTTCCTATGAGGCACGAACAAACTTACTGTAAGGGCTGCAATGTTAAACTGGGCGCTACAGTACTTTGTGCCCCTCAACTAGCACCTCTCCACTGTGACTTAGTGCAAAACAAAAAAAGTTATGTGCAGTGTAGCCACACGGTTCAAAGGGGATTGCTTTCTGAAAATGCAAAATTCCTCAATGACAGATCAACTGTTAATGTTTGGCTTCTGCATTTCCCATAGTTTTTAAGACAGGGATTTAATAGTCTGTTTATTCTTCAGGTCCACACAGAGACACATATTATTCCCCACCTGAACAGGTGGGCAGGTGAGGTGCTCTCAGTCTCTATTAATGGTATTGCGTGACGTTCTGCCAGTATGTGTGCCACAGCAGTTCAGCCAATGGGCTAAGGTTATTCCTGATTATTTGACTAACAATTTAATGAAGGGTAATGAAAATAATTGCATGTGCCTTCAGGGTAACTAGCTCCATTCCCCTTTGAAAAACAACTCCCCATATAATTGATACAGTTGTCAGTTGTATGTGCCTGCTATAAGTGTTAGTGCATCCCATGCATTGATTAACCAGCAAACCTCAATTGAGACTTTAGTACTTGTGTGTTAGACATCTTTAAATTTGTGAAAAGGGTTTGGTATTCACTGGCAAAAACCGTTCTACTCTGTAGAAGTGTTTTTCATGAATAAACGCTAGTATTTTTGAAGCAAAGAGAAAGCATATTACCACATGTAGCTTCTGTAGAGAATCAGTGTTATCAGCATGTTCCACTGTATCATTTATATTTAAGGCCTGTGCTAAAATTCTCACAGGAATGCAGTTTGCATTGTCGTGGGCTCTGCTGGTTTTTAGCAATGAAATGGTTTGATAAAAGTAGAAAAATGATTTCCACTGATCAGTGACTGCGGGCCATCAATTTAAAAATAATTAACTAAGTACTAAAGGGGAGGGGTTAGGAAGATTTTTTTCAACAGAGGGTCGTTAGAATGTGGAGCCCTGCCAGGCACTGTGGTCCAGACGCCATCCAGATTAGCTGTCAAGAGGGAGCTAAAGAGATGTGTAAAAGGGAGTGATTTGAAGGGAGATGGAGAAAAGTAGGTATAAATGAAACAATAGATTTTGCTCTTTTGGAGCCAAAACGCACAATAGTCTTCCTGTGTAAAGGGTTTGTGTGCTGTGAAGCTCCAGGTTTCTGTGTCTGATGTTCATTTCTGGGGCAGAATTCTGACATGTGTTTTCACTGTAAGTGTGTTGTGGGAAACTGGTTTAAACTGGATTTAAGTTTAATGGTCACCTCTTCATAAGGCCCTGGGGAGTGGTGGGCTGTTTCTCATTTAGATTAGTTATTGTTTACTTCTTGTCCTAATTTTGAAATGTTTTATTACTTTTGTTTCTTTTTTTACAGGCTTCAAATAATATTTAGTTTCAACATTAAAGATTGTGGCAAATTTTATTAGAAACCCAACATTTCAAGCCAGTCCAGCAGATTGATGTTCTAAATCTCAGTAATTGCTGAACCACAGTAACTGTAGGATGTGTATCAGTGTGTTCTGCCGTGTGTTGAAACTTCCACCATAGAAAGTAGAACAAGAATAACAATTTTGGAACAGCCCTAATAAAGATCTGAAGATATTTTACCCCAAACAATCACATTTTCAGGCAATTTAATAGGTTGACAGGTACTGACAAGCATGGACTCTGTTACTGCAGCTCAGTGGTTAATCTCTGACTGTGACAACACTCTGTTACCCTCTCACCTTTAGTCTCTGAGACTGTAGTTTGAATCAATTGGATCTGAGGGATTCCAGTCGGTTTCCTTGCTCTACTCACTAAGCTTCTTACTTGAAATGTGCTTCTTTTTGTTGAATCTGTTTGTCTTATGTTAGGCAAAAATATAATTGAGGTTTTTTTTCCAAATTTGTTCCTAAATTCTAACATTACAGGCAGTTATGTGATAGTCTGGTATCAGTAAATCAAAAGGTATGGTTGACATTCATTCTGCCGTTAACAAAGCCAATTGCAGTATTACAAATGTTTAATCAAGAAAGGAGAATAACCCAGAAAAACAGACCAGACAACACTTAGTATTATTTGCAGGGAATTAACAATGATTAAGAATTTGTTGGCAACAGAATGAGGGCAGTGTGTTTTCATTACCTTTTGGAATATGGGCAATTTTATCACCCAGAGTGAATTATTAATATTCTACAAAAAAAATGCACAATAGCTTCTGCACAATCACTGTTGATTTGATTTTAACACCTGTTACTATAGACATAAGAAGCAAAGGTTACTGTAATGTTAACTATCTGATAGCCAACTCGCTTTTAATATAATAAATACTCAAATTTGATATAGTCACCTTATGTTGTTGAGAATTCTCAATGTGCTCACTGGATTTTACTGTGAAATGGCAAAATGTGGTTACAGTAAAATATTAATAAATAATCCAATCAAATATTTTTCCTTGGTTTATTTCACAGCTTGTTCAATCAAAAGAAAAATTAAATTTGCACATATTTATAGAGACATACACACATATGACTATTTGGTTGCTAATAATCCTGTTTGTTAATAAAACGGTAACATTTTAGGCTTATATTTACAATCAATTTTATATTTTTTCAAAAATATTTCTCTCCCATTTCCCACCCATGTCCCCCCTCCCCACAGCCTGGAGGTTTGTACCCCAACATCTCGCTGACTAACTGACAGCTGTACCTCCACAACTACTCTACGGAAAAAACTTAGTTGGAGTGAATTCTTCCAATTAAATTTTAGAATTCAAAAAGTTTAAGTTATGAGGTTTGGGCAAGGAAAGACTTTTCTAGTTTGGGCACTCATATCAATATCAAACATTTGCACGTTAAGTAATAGCATAACATACATCAGAGTAAAGAACTTACTCCTACCTACCCCAGCGCTTACCTAACACTGTACAGCCGTGTAAGATCTTCATTTCCCACCACATTGGACTCTTTATGGTAGAGAAGAGGAAACTTTAATCCCACTGGTTTGAACCTCAGGCTCTGACGGTGACGGGCATTGTGATAACCCAGTGTATTTCAGTGGCCTCATAGGTTACCTGCTCGGCTTCAATGATAAGTAACTGAAGTGACAAGTGACTAACAGATACACAGTGCTGGTCTGCCCTGCTGTCAGGACTTGGGATCCAGTTGGAGGTCAAGTGTTTAATACTGAGCTGCTCATATCATACATGTTTATGTCAAACAATCCTTTTAGCAAGATAATTCTATCAATAATTAAGTCAACTCTGTATAAAAAGTGAAACATATTGCATAGTTCAAACACATTTGTATAGCCCTGAAAGGGACTGGACACAAATTAATGAAATATAAATTAAAAAATCCTACTTTTCAAAACAATTTAAAAAAAAAGTTAGGCCAAGATCCCAGGATTGGTTTTGTAAAAAACCAATATCCCCTTCACCCCAAACAAACAATATTCAACTGTTACAACCTGAAATTGTTGCTGTTTTGCAACAACAAAAATACGAAGTTATCAGACAATTCAACTAGGGGTTTAACAATAAAAGAAGACAGCAGTACAACATGGGATGTATTTATAATGAGTGAACTGCCCCCCCCCCCCCACCCAAACTGACACCTGGCACATCTGTAGTTAAACTGACTATTATTTGCAGACAATTACTCTAGATATCCAAAACAATTAATTGTTTGAAGGGAAAATCATTAAATACGTATGTTTGATTTTATTAATTGTAATTTTTTTTGTAATACAAAGATTACAATGGTTTCGCACATTTTGAAGGAATTACGTCTCCAGTGATAGACTGATAACATCTCAATTCTCCTGCATTAAGAATTCTGATTGAAGATAATGATACTCTGCAATTTACAGTAGTTGAGATACATTTTCCCTTTTTTTTGCTCAGTTTACTTAATAAGCTTGGAGAAATTAGCTCGGGTACTATAATACAATGTGCAATGCAGCGTTCAAGCTACTTTCCAACAATAGAGTCATTACCAGCAAACCAATACACAACAAGGAAAATTGCCTTTGTCTTTTGTCACCTATTGATTTAAAAACATGAATAATCTCTAAAACTAGCAGTTTTTTTTTACAGGCAATAGAATTACAGTAGAACCTCAACAACACACCTTGAGAAAAGTAGATGTTTAAGTGGCTAAAATATTCATAGCTTTTAAGAAATTTTCTTATAATTAAGAAAGAATTTTTGCTTATGAGACTATTTTACTGCGACCAGTGCAGAAATATCAATCTGTTATGCAAGGCGTATCATAACAATGTACACTTATGATTCAAGGTTAGTAGCTAATAAAATGCAATCCGTACAATAGTGCTTTATTAATGTACACAATGCATTCATTCACTTGACCAATTGCCTAACTTTGGCATCTGTAACTTTGAGGTGCTACTGTTGTGAAAAGGAAATTACAAAGGCACTGACACAGTTGAGATTATGATGAATTCACAAACGAGAACAGCAATGTTTCACCACTTTACACAAGTCAGTGGATCTCAATATGTGCATCTTAATACCCTCACTTATATATTATATTTTTTATAATTTTTTTTAATCATAAATTACCAGGGTCTTCATGATCCAGTATGCAGGTCGATTTCAGATCATTGTGGAGTGACATCAGTGCATAAAGTATTACATTTTTGCATTATGAGCAAATGGTCTTGTATTACATGCTTGGTAGAGGGTTTTCTTTTCCAGTCAGATGCTAAGCTATTCAATACCTTGGATATACTAAGAACCCTCAGTACAGGAATGTTTAATATAGTATAAAAATAAGCATTTAAGCAAAATATTGCACGACAGATTAGTTAATTCTGGAAAGTGCTACAGTGTGCCATTGCAGCATTCCTTGTTCAGTAGAAATATTGAAATAGTGCAAATCAAGAAATATTTGTACAATAATCAAATTATTTAGCAATTGATCATGTCGGAGACACAAAGGATAAGATCATTAAGCTGTTTAAAGCATTCTTCTTTGAACATTTTGGAATGAAAAGACTGAACAGGTTTCAATCATGGAATTCCTTAAGTTCTCTTATCATAACTGTACTATCAGAGTCTGTGAAATCATTATAACTACGTTCATAACGTACACTCCCAAAAGGATTAGCCCATCGCCATTTATTTTTGTAGATAATCCACAGAAATCCTCCCAGGAGCAGCAGGGATACGATCACTGAGAGCACGATAGCTGCCACTTTGTTGTCGGGTTCTGTAAAACACAGGGGGGCAGTTAATGACTGGGACAGGTTGCCAGGTCACTGGCTGCTGGAGTTTTGTTTGAGACGGTTACTTACTTATTGGAGTTTTGCACACAAGTCTGCCAAGACTCCTTGAACAATTGGTTAGGATCCATTTTCCACTAATGGCTGATACGGCAGCACAGCTCTCACCAGGTAGAATTGCAGCCGTTTCATTAATCCAATTGTCAAACTTTAGATTGGAGCCATCTCCCCATTTTAATGAGTTATCTACATAGAGGCACAAAAGTGTCAACAACTTTAGCAAAGTCCATTACAATACAAGTATTCTTGAAAATTGCCCTTCAGTTACAAAAAGCTATGACGTTATAACATCAACAACTTGCATTTATATAATGCCTTTCAAGCTGGGCAGTGTCTCGGAGTGCTTTGTTGATACGTTGGGACGTTTATCAGTGGGTTTGACAATATATGCTATGATGAAACCATTTCTCACCACTATGGATTCAATTAACTTTGGTGGGGTCAGGTTCCACCTGTTGCCAGGATTCATGTGGTTTGCCCTTTCCCATACAAAGCTCCCAATTTCATGTTGGGAGTGCAGGCCTCTGCATCTCTACAGATTTTAGGGTCCTTCCCAAATCTATCTGAAGACCAATGCACAGTGCCACCAAGTGGTCAAGGGTGGTTTGCCTGTACAATCAGCCGCCAATCACACAGGCAAACACAGAGAGTATCAGCCTAGCCTCAGTGTTGACGGTTTTATCTCCCAATAGTCTGCGTGAGAGTCAGAACAGCAGCCGTTACCCTCCCCTTGCCCCAAGAATGAGTAATCCAACAACAACTTGCACTTATACAGCGCCTTCCACACAGGGTAGCGTCCCAAAGCGCTTGATTAACGGGAGGATTTTTCAAATGTTCCAAGGTTTTAATTCAATTATTCTTAAGCTCTGGGATGCTACCCTACATGAGGGGCGTTATATAAATGAAGGTTGCTGTCGTTGTGGTGGATGAATGTTCCTCACCTTCAGAGCCACGTGAGATGCTGAGCCAGACCCGCCCTGCAATACCATGTTCTTCTTGTATTTGTCTGGTGACAAAATCATTCTCTTCTTTATCTTCAATACTCAGAACAGCAGCAGAAGCATCTAAATGTTAAATGTTTGGATTTAACAACATAACAACTCTTCAACGCTCTGAAACATTTCATTGAAAATATTCTGAGGTCAAATAGGAGGGAAATACAATATCTACTTAAACTTCTACAGTGCCTTTCAAATAGCATTAGATCTCAAGGCTCTTTACAGAGATGTGCTAGAGCCTGGCAGGCCCTGGCCTGCATGGACATGGGGGCGGGGGGGGGGGGGGGAATTAGGGTCAATATTAGCTCAAAGCATCCATTTAAACATGAATAATTATTCTTTGTGCGAACAACATGCAGAAACACAGATGTTGATTTGTTTCCTCAGTTCTAATCACACGAGACTCAGTTGAATCAGAGATGACAAGAGAACGTACCGAGTTTCTGACAAATTAATTCTGTCTCTTTCATGGTGAAAACGGACCAGTTGTACAAACCCATGTCAAATCCATAGCAATAATCTTTGAACCTGATCCATGTTGACTTGCTATCTTTCTGGGGGCACATGTTTGAGGTTTCAGCCCGCGTGTTAGAGGATGTATCTGTAAAATAGATTTTTCAGTGATAATGTGATATAGACTCATGTTAATATTTCCTGAAGTTTTATATAACTCACTTAGAATAGATAGCTAGGTGACAGGCGTTACTTAGGCCAGCGAGTTACGAACATATAGAATCTTACTGCAAATTCTGAAAATGCTTTTTAAATAATAATAATCCTGGCATTTAATATAACGCCTTTCACATCAGGAAGACGTCTTAAAGCGCTTCACAGCATTTACTGTAAAGAGTAATGAGTCTGTATTTGGGGGCGAATCCCAGCGAACAGATTATCCATCATACAATGACATGTGCTGTGCCAGAATTCAATCCAGCTCATAATAAAACAACTAGTAGCATCTGGATTTCAAACTGATAGTTAATAATCAGGATATTGCATTGCTGTCATTTTCATTATAAGAATAATGCATTTGATACAGCGCCTTATCACGTTTTTGAGACGTCTCAAAGCGCTTCACATAATATACTGTAATTGACTGTATATTTTGTGGGTGAAATGTGGCAGCCAATTGCACACAGCAATGTCCCACAAACATCATGGATTGAGTGATCAAATAAGTATTTTAATTTACTTATTTATTTGTTTACTTTTGAAGGGATTATTATGATGCCATTGTGTTGAAGAAGTCCATTCAATTCAAAGTGACTTATGCACAGCTCTAAAAATTCTGCATTAATTTTTTTAAACACCTACTTTTGCTCCGTGAAGCATAACATATTGCTCCATCCACTTCGTCGTGACAGCTTTTGCTGGTCCAGATGCCCTTCGTATCCATGTAAACACAGCTGCCATTTGTATTAAGATTTTTGTACTCCCAGGGCTTGTAATCGGTATTTCTTCCATCTGACCATTCAAACACAGGCCCTTCCTGGTAATGCAAAGTGAATATTAAACTGAAGGAAGCTATATAGTTAGCTGAAGGAATTACAAGTACATTTGCTGTTTAAGATGATCCTGTAGACGTGAATCGTTCATATTTCCTACTGGATTCATCTGTGATCACCTTCCTTGCCTTTCTCCAAATCCTTTCCACGGCTTCTAAATCTGGTTAGAATTATCTCGTTCTAATTTGATTCTAATTCGGTGTGGTATCACAAATTCTTCTTAAAATGCAAATGCTACGTTCTTGGATTTTATATTCTATAGACCCCAGTACAGTCCAATTCTACATTTGGGATTCACAAATTAGACCCCGTGTTAGAACACGTCCAGAAAATGCAAATGGCTGCCAAGCCCACATGTGGCTAGTCGGGTGACCACTGAGGTCACTTCTGGTGCTAACTGGCCAACTCAGTACATCACCTGTTATCTACCAAACTCCACCCACTAGACAGTCTGCTCAAACCAACCTCTTCCTCCACACCCTATAATATACCTGACCTTACCAACTTTTAAATAGATAACATGTAGAAAAATGTTCATCCGGAAAAGAACTAAACTCTATCCCCCTCTCTCACACATGTACAATACTGTATTTTGCAAATAACTTATAACATGATCCAATATGATCCATCAGCTTAATTTAAGTGAACTCACGTCTGGCTGGTACAAGCCAATCCACAGAGGGAAACCATCCGACTTCACTAAATTGTTCAGGAACAAATGCTGAGAAACATTGTAGACACTGACGAGGTGATAGCCAGCCATTCTGCACTGCTGCATTGCCTCAAACCAACTGAGCTTCTTCTGCAGCAGTTTGTAGTTGTAGTTTTCATACACTGCAGTCTCAGTTAGAGGCTGAAAATCTCTTGGATCAAAGACTTGAAAAAAAATCACAGAATCGTCAATGAACAATAAAACAGTAATATAGCATTATTATAATAATTATTTACCCCCAAAAAAGCAATCAGCCAGTCGATTATCTATTCTAAGCACACCTACTTTTCTAAACGTCAAACCGACAACACCTAAATGATACAGAAATCTACTACAGAAATAGAAGGTTTTTTTGTTAAAAAGTAAATAATTATTAGAGTACAAACAATTTGTAAATAATGTCATCAATAATACCTAAAAAATAGTCGACACGCACCAAATCTGGTGCTCAAACACCCTTAGGATTAGGACACAAACTGTCTGTTACATGATGCTTAAACCTGAAAGCTGAGACGATTAGTGTATGTGTGACAACACTCATTATGAAGGATATTAAATACCTTGTTACTTCTACAAAGATCTATAAACTTTTTTTACATTTAGTAGTCAATGCAGATTATTAAACTAATCACATACCGTTTTCGAGTTTACATGCAATTATGCTATTCACAATGAATTGTATTTTAAATAATTGTTGATTGGTCAGATGCCAGACTCCGGCCATATCCAGGACAGCGGCCAGGAAGAGTGTTGGTGAGTTCTGCAATTTCGGTCTCCCATTCCTCCAGTTTGAATATCGCACGTACGAGCCATCGTTCCATTTCAGACGTTTCTCTAAAATAGACAATGCTCCATCACACAAATGTAAAACACTGAAAAAAAGCTAGAAATCTGTAACGGATATAGTGCCTTATCACTTCATTGAGGCATCTAAAGGCACCTCACAGAATATACTGTAAAGTGTTTGAATGACTATTTTGTGGGCGAAATGCAGCAGCCAATGGCCCACAGTCCAATAATAGTAGTCTTAAAGTAATTACACTTTACTTACCAAAGCTATCGTACTCAATACTTAGCCACACCCATCGAAACAGATATTTGTGAGCAATAAGTTGTTCTGTGACAAAATTATTCTCTTCTTCATTTCGAATATTTAAAACATCAGCACTAGGATCTATTTGAGGAGAAACATTTATAGTAGTCTGGGAGTAAAGCTCTCAACAATTTACATGGTATAAAAACTGAGGAGTAATTAGGAGAAATTGACTAAAATGTATCAGTTTCTAATTAGTTTCTGATTTTGACAAATTCTTTTTTTGGTCAGCCGGGTGTCTGACACACGCAGAAACCCATCACCGTGCTGAAGAGTCTCCAAACCAAACTGAGATTTCCATGCATCCAACCTACACATGGAAATCCCAGAGAGAGATTGTTGGAATGGAATGCGCTCTCTCTCTCTCTCTCCCTGGAAGGACACATCCTGTTTACCTCATTCCGGAAAGTATTAGGCACAGGTTGGCAAGACCCAAGGCTTGGGGGGGAAGCCCAGATTGTACATTGGGGTAACTGCTGGAATCTAACCAGCTAAACCCACAAATTTTGGTGAGCAGTGTAATATTTACCACTACAACAACTGAACAGATGTTAAAGGCACAGGATAATAAAAGGTCACAAGAATATGTTGAAATTTCTAAGATTATCCAGACAGACTTCCTGGTCAATGAAGTTAGTGAACTATAACTGAGAACAAATAGGAAGAATAGTCTTACCTAAATTCCTGCAGAAGCTATGAATCCTGTCCTCTCTGAATCTTGGAGAATTCTGTGCGTTAATCTGAAAGGCGTAACAATTGTTTCTGAATGGTATCCACAAGGCACCGTGAATCTTATGAGGGCACCTCACAGTATTCACTTTTGGTTGTTCAGGCGACTCGTCTTCTGAAAAACAGATGATAATAATAATAAACCTTGCATTTGATACAACGCCTTGTTACACCATTGAGACGTCTCAAAAGGCTTCACAGAATATTCTGTAAAGTGGATTGACTCTATAATTTGTGGGTGTAACCATGGCAGCCAATTGCGCACAGCAGCGTCCCACAAACAGTCATGGATTGAGTGACCAAATTATTATTATTTTTATTTAATTAATTTATTTTTTGATGGGATTATTACCCACAAAATCTATCAATCGGCGAATAATTGGGTTCCTGTTTGCTGCTAGATAAACAGAGGCGTGTTAGGATGCAGACTTAATCTATGAGATTCAATATGAACAGATATTAGGATTTCCCTTCAGAGTCCACAGAAGCTGACATTGATTAACGTTAGGTCCTCATCTCAAGAAAATACATGTGTTTGCCTTCTGCCTCTCCTGTTCTATGTATTATCTGTACCTTTGTTAGAGTATCTGCATTACTGGACGAGCTGCTCCCAGGCTATAAACCAACCTCCAGGGACACCGGGGAAGCTTCTCCCTACCCTTTGTCACCGCTGCTCAACTAACAATGAGAATTCAGCACATGGGAAAGCGAGAAAGCGAGAGAATCTATCAGCCCACACTTCTGCTCACTTGGGAAAGATCACTATTGCACTTGGCTCTAACGCACCCCTAAGTAGGGCCAAATAGTCTTTTGACAAAGAGTTTATGTGTGAGGAAGAACCATTTTATACAGTATCAAAGAGAAGCCTGGAACAGGAACCCTCTCTCAATGTGTCTTTATAGACAAGAACGAGGGTCTTTATAGACAAGAACGAGAGGAAAGATTACTCAGGTCCCAAATCCAAATATCAATGACTGAATTATTGGTTTATTACAAGCCCAGAGCAGTGACCAACACACCCAAAGGTCATTCAGTAATCAAACACAAGTGTGATGAGCAGGAGACTTACTTTGTTGGATATGGCAAATGGCTCCTTGTAAAGGGGACTCACAGCCCAGGGTTTTCCAGAACCCATTGGTGTCCATGTAAACACAGTCATCAGTAGGTTCAGAGTCACCTTTACTCCAATGACTGTGAGTGACGTGTCTGCCGTCAGACCACCGGAAGTGAAGACCATCCTGGTGTTAAACAGGGTTCATGGATTGTTATTTCATGGAATAATCATCATCACATCACCAACATTATATCCCAGTGTGGAAAAACATCTACCTCATTACATCACAGTGACCCACGTGCTGTTTAAATTGCATTGACTAAATTTTGAGCCTTTGTAAAGTGGCTAGTGGCACACTCGAGCCAGTGGCACATTCGAGGCATTCGCACACTCGAGCCAGCGGCACACTCGAGCCAGCGGCACACTCGAGCTGTAAAAGACATTGACCACTAAGATATTTGTTAATTATTCTATCTGATGGGAACTTACGTCTTGGCTGTACAGTCCTATCCACACGGGGTAGCCTAAAGTGTTGACAACAGTTGTGAGGAAAGCCTGATGGTATGTCTCAGTGATGCTGACCAATTCTTTCCCATTCTTCTGGCACTCAAGTAATGCATCTTCCCAAGTCATGTTCCTCTTGATTATCATGTAAGTATGGTTTAGAAAGCTTAAGGTGTCATTGAAGGGTTGATTCGCTGAATCATTGGCAAAATGCTCTAAAGACAACACATTGTTTGTTAGTGGCTTTGTTTAGGATATTATACAACTAGTTGAGGTGGTAAAGTAACAAACACTGGCTGTGACATAGTCTGCTTTCTGAAAACACCCAGGAACAAGCACTACAGTCCCAATAAGGTCACCTGTAGTTCAATGAAGGATCAATCCATTTTCACATTCTTATTATGAATTACAATATGTGTATTATTTGATTGAATCGTTATACATCTTAAAAAAAAACATACCTTTGCAGTTAGTTATAATAATTACATCAGGACGTCTTAAAGCACTTTCCTTCGCAGGATATACAGTAAAGTGGAGTGACTGCTCTTTTGGGATGTCCTCCTGATGTGAAAGGCGCTATACAAATGTAATCTTGTTGTTGTTTTGTGGTAAATGCATTTCAATACCCAGAGTTAAAGCATTCAGAAAAGGCTTGCACTACTGCAAAGACCTTGTATTTCAGATGTTTCATCTAATGTTAACCCCCAGCTCGGGTCCAAACCCCTGACTGTCCAGCCTTTTGGGAAGTCCTCCTGACATGAGCGGCGGACTCTGGTAAATGTAATGTGTTGTTCTTGTTGTTGTGAAAGGCTCTGTACAAATGTGTAAATGTCATTTGTTGTTGTTACCTCTATATTTCTGACACAGTACAACATGTTGCTTAATTTCACAGTTTGTTCTGTTCCATTTTCCAACAAATGGCGTTTTGGGATTGTTTTGCATTAGTGTACACTGCTTCTCAAATGGAAATTCAAAAAACTAGAGAAAAAAAAGTTATAGAATGTGAGTTATTGCAATTGGGGGAAAAAGGTCATATCAATCACTTGTTACTATAAATTAATTCAATTGTTTAAACTCTGTTCCAGGAATTTTACTGACTTGTTATTTAGAGGTTATGGATAGAAAAAGCCAGCAAACAATATACCTTCAATTGAATCATGTACAATTTTTGAAAACACGGACGCGCACACACACACAGTCGCTTGCACACACATGTGCGCTCACAGAAGAAGCCTTTTTGAATCCTGTTTCATGAAATCTTACCGAATGTTTGAATTTTTATATAAATACATCTATATAAACATACACACATTACACTTACATCAATATCTATCAAATTGGGAAAGGTATCATACAACGGAATCCAGTTGGTGTATGTAACTGGCCTCCCCGTTACCCATTTATATCTTGAGTCCTTTTTTGAGATCTGCAAACCAAGCCACAGTGCCTGTTGCAGCCCGGGCAATTTGGATGTAATAAAATCTGTTACACAAAAAAAATCAAATCAACCCAACTTAAGAAGACAACAAACACTAACAATATGGACACAGGTTTGACAGTCAACAAATCACAACACGTCTATCTACATTAGTGAAAAATACAATAAACATGTTTGCTTGACTCACATCCAAAAATTATAATAAAAGTTATGATACCACAGATCACAATGCCAGGTCCCAATAATAACTATTGTTTAAAAACAAAAAATATAAGTTGAATTTTGATACATTTGTCAGGGATTTTTGGCTCAGTTTATGCACTTACCTTGTTCCAAAGAGTTAGCAATAGTTGGTAAGTTCCCACCAAGACTGCTGCAATATTGTGAAGCTTTTTCCCACGTTAATAGCCTTGGTTTTACGAGATTATAACACTGCAAAATAATAGTGTCCTCATTAGTGTTATTTGTACCATTTATATCAAATGCATAAAATTCATATGAATATGTTCGCGCTGCGGTTACAAGTGTTTATTGTCAAGGTTGTTGGTGTTTTATTGAGCAATCAGTCTTGGAAAAAGAGATGTTAATGGAGACCTTGAGGTATAAAAGATTTTGAATCGAATTAATAAAGTAACCTTAGAACCATTGTTTAGGCTGCACCAATACAGGAGAACACGAAGAGACATTTCTCCTGTGAACACGTCCAGGAACACCTCCCTCCCCATAATGGCGCCTAAATCATTCTTTATTGTTTCAGTCACACATCTGAACAATTCTATTGTGAATCAAACACAAACATACATCCTTTCAATGTCTGAATGAAGTTCCAGTAACCCTCGGTGACCAGACTCTGGGTATCCGGGATTCGGACCTTTCCACCGAATAACATTTCCACAGCCTACACCCTCCACGTTGCTTCTGCCAATCAAATCTCAAGAGTCTAACTCCAAACTAGTACGTTTTTTTAGAGATGGTGGTATTGTACATACATTGTCTCCAAAGGGGATCCAGTCATCTGTACACGGGGTTCCCGGCTGATCTGGGTAAAAGGATCCCGATTCCAACGCTGTTGTGTTTATCTTTTGACAAATGAAGGGAAGACTTTTGTAGCAATGTACCTGCAAATTATATCCTGCAACAAAGACATTTGAAATATGTTAAACCAATCAGATGTTTAGTTTATACCAAAGAAAATGCTCCCTAGACTGTTAACGCTTCTAATACAGTAACTCCAACCCATTGGGTAATGTTCTGGGCAACAGCTAATAATAATCCTTGCATTTGATATAGTGCCTCATCCCATCGTTTAGACATTTCAAAGCGCTTTACAGAATATACTGTAAAGTGTAGTGACTGTATATTTTTGTGGGCGAAACCCAGCTCTAAGCTGGCTTCTATTATTAATCACAAACTATCTTGGTGGTGGGCTGTGGTGCAAGGATGCTATTTGTCTCTCCTGGACAGAGGCAAGAGAGAGAACCTCTTTTTTTTCTTATTTGTTTGGGGGACAGCGTTCTGAGACGCTATCCTACGTGGAGGGCATTATATAAATGCAAGTTGTTGTTGCAAGTTGTTCTTGACAGACAATTGTACAGAAAGATGATACGACAATTAAAAAAAACCAACAGGGAAAAAGGATACAATCCAATTTCAAAATTTCATTTTACCATAAGACATATTTTCTGCTTTTCATGTCACTGCATCTCATCCCATTGGACTTAGCAACAGGTCAAGGCCATTGCACAACCATGTACTCAATCTGCACTAAATTTTGGAAAACAGATATACATCTGTATCTCTGCAACAACAACAACAACAAGATTCCATTTATAGTGCGCCTTTCACGTCGGGAGGATGTCCCAAGGCGCTGTACAGTTGGGTCAGGATGTCAATATCCATTGATGCAGGAAACGGAACTAGGAAGTGAGTCATGGTGTAGCTGCTATCAACAACTTGTATTTATAGAGGGCCCTTCACACTGGGCAGTATCTCGGAGTGCTTAACAGCAGCAGAGCATGTGACTACAGTCAGCTCCCCTCTCCTCCGTCTCGGTGTCGTGTTCCGCCAATGTCAAGCGCTCTGGGACACCACCCTGTGTAAGGGGTACTGTATAAATTGTTGTTGTACAAACCATTTGAGCCTTGCTCTCTCAGGCTGTATCCCCTGATCACTCACCAAGTGTAATCAATTGGACACAATCAATACCTCAATGTACCAACTTTTGGGGAACTTAACATTTCTTGTGACTCATTTGAGGAACTGATGTAAAATGAAACTTAGCTGATCAGACAACCCACAACACGTAATGTTAAGTTGAAACTACTCTGCTCACTAGCTTCTCAGGACAAATTGCAGTGCAGAGCTGTGAGCTGCTGTGTAAGTGTGATGTGAAATGGATTATCACTTTATAGCAATGAAACTCGTATATTTGTCAAATATTGAAGAAGCTGATAACACGCTATTGTATTGTCTTATCCTCAAGGCTCAGGGGGTAAAGATACCATTTGGTTCAGCACTGGGTGATACACGCCAGGAAACTGTCGAGAACTTACAACCACACGAGTCACAGTGGAAATGTTGCAATCAGAACAGCACTAATCTGTGATTTTGCTGATATTCAGTGTTGAGCTTTGTATATGAGATAATAATAATAATAATAATAATCCTTGCATTTGATATAGCGCTTTTCACGTCGGGAGGACGTCCCAAAGCGCTTCACAGAACACACTGTAAAGTGAATTGACTGTATATTTGTGGGCGAACGCGGCAGCCAATTGCGCACAGCAATGTCCCACAAACAGTCGTAGATTGAAAATGACCAATTTATTATTGTTTTTTGTTTTGGAGGGATTATTATTAGGCGTGAGGAGTAAGGAAACTTGCCCAAGGTTTCGCCCTCTGCCTGGAATTGAACTCAGGTCTCTCGCTTGCAAAGCGAGTGCTCTAACCACTGAGCTACAGGACTCCAGATGATATAGAGATGATATAGAAAAGAGCAGCGGCAATCTGTAACTCTCTCTCTCTCTCTCCCTCCCCTTAAAGGCTGTGGATTATGGCTGGATCCATTCACATTTTCAAGACTGAGGTGGATAGATGTTTGTTAGGTCAGGGGATCAGGGGATATGGGGCAAAGGCGGACAATTGGAGTTGAGGTACAGGTCAGCCGTGAGCTAATAGAATGGCGGAACAGACTCGAGGGACTGAATGGCTTTGTCCTTTTCCTATGATGGTACATGACAAAGTACTGGAGGAGAGTGCCTGGTTTCTGGCATCCACATCCCCAATAGATGGGAAAGAAAGAGATATATTCCTTCAGGAGTAAAAGTAGACAAGGAAAAAAATTAAATGTATTACGATAAAGTACTTACAACAAAAACAAAGTTACATTTGTATAGTCCTTTTACGTCAGGAGGACATCCCAACGTGATACATTAACTTACCATTAAACCATCGACGGAAAGGATTGATGAAAGGACACTCCCTGTATCTGTTGCGGAAGGAATTCATGCCATAGAACCCAAAATATGGACGCCTGCTAAGAAAAGACAATTGGTTATCGATCCACTCAAATCATTACCACCAGATTTATTAACACAAAACCTACTGAAACTTTAAACATATATAGCATGAACTACAGCAGGTTATATGGCTTGTAGCTTTCCTTATTCTAAGTGACAATCTTTTAGTTACATTTGTGCCATTATTACAACAACAACGCAAGGTAAACAGAACATATAATAATAATAATAATAATCCTTGTATTTGATATAGCGCTTTTCACGTCGGGAGGACGTCCCAAAGCGCTTCACAGAATATACTGTAAAGTGAATTGACTGTATATTTGAGGGCGAACGCGGCAGCCAATGGCGCACAGCAATGTCCCACAAACAGTCGTAGATTGAAAATGACCAATTTATTATTGTTTTTGGTTTTTTGGAGGGATTATTATTAGGCTCTGTGTGGAGTAAGGAAACTTGCCCAAGGTTTCGCCCTCTGCCTGGAACTGAACTCAGGTATCTCGCTTGCAAAGCGAGTGCTCTAACCACTGAGCTACAGGACTCCACAAATATATACTTGGGACTTGCTTAAATATATATATATATAAGCAAATAAAACCTCCTAAATAAACAAGCAGTGACCGCAGCAAAGCAGACAAAAGGAAACGAGGGATTATCTTTATCACAACACAGAGGCTGAGAAAGTTTAACAAATGCAGGAAAATCTAGTATTAAGCAGCAAACTGAAAAATGACGCACTCCGTGTGTATAATACTCACATAAAATGGCCCATTGAATCGTGATCAATTGTCTTCACCCACCAGTTCTGAAATGAAGGAAACTCCTATGGACAAAAAACAGCACAGATATAGTGTAAGGGCAAGTATTAATGTATTGTTTTTGAGATGTTTCAGGTATCTTCCTCTGCTCTCCCACTTGCAGGAGTAAACAATAATAAATAGTAAATAATAAGATTATAATTATTATAAATACCCTCCCACACTCAGATATTACTTTAAGTGATTGGAGTTTGTCCCATTTGAACATAATAAGAACATAAGAAATGCTAGACGAAAAAAGACCAAGGTTCATCTAGTTCGGCTTCCACCTTCCTGCCAATCGCATGCACATATGTCCCAAACTCCCTATGTACTATATCCCATAATGTTATTTCCTAAAAGAAAACTATCCAATCTGTGTTTGAAAGAATCAACACTTTCTGCTTCAACCGTTTCCCTGGGGAACCTGTTCCACACGTTCACTATTCACTCACTGAAATAGTGTTTGCGTAGATTTGTTCTGAATTTACCCCCTTCAATCACAGACCGTGTCCTCTAGTTTTACTATTCTGGACAAGTTGAAACAGCCCGTCATGATCTATATTGTTTGGCCTCTTTAGAATCTTAAAGACAGCAATCATGTCACCTCTCAATCTTCTCCTTCCCAGCCTGAACATGGCCAATTTACTTGTGGCTCTTCATAGTCCAGCCCCTCCATTCCCTCAATCATTTTGGTTGTCCTCCTCTGTATCTTCTCTATTTCTCCAATATTCTTTTTACACGGTAATGACCAAACCTGTACACAGTATTCGGAAGTATGGTCTCACCAATGATTTATACAGTGGCAGGATTACCCCACTATTTTGTCTGTTTTTGATCTTTTGATACGTCCCAACATCTGGTTTGCTCTACTCATTTGGTTAGAATCATAGAAATCTACAGTGAAGGAAAAGGGATCTGGCCCATCAAGTCTGCACTAGCTGTGAGAGCAACATGTTCATTCAATCCCATTGCCCCGTTTTACCCCCAAATACCTTCAAGCCTCTGATTGTCATATTCCTGTCTACTTTAGTCTTGAAACCCACAATGGCGTTCCCCATCCCAACAGTCTCCTAAACTTTCCTTTTGCTCTTCTTGTGATTATCCTATTACTCTGTCTCCTGGGTCCGACCACCTGAAATAACTTCTTCCTATTTACTCTGTGAAACTCCCAGAGCTCCTAACAATTGTCCCTCATTGATCATTCTTGTCAATCTCCTCTGCAACCTCTCCAAGGCCTTAACATCTTCCCTGAAATGAAGCTTCCAAAACTGAACCCAGTATCAAGTAAGTTGCTGCCTAAACAATGATAATTATTTTCACCCACAAAATGTACAGTCAATTCACTTTACAGTACATGCTGTGTAGCGTTTTGAGATGTCTCAAAGACATGATAAGGCGCTATACCAAATGCAAGGATTATTATTATTATTTTATATTATTATTGCTTTGCTTTTGTACTCTATGTGTAAAAGCAGAATACTACAAGCTTGTTTTACAGCCTTTTCCACTTACATTGACACTTTCATGGACACTTTGTTGAGTGTCATGGCTGGGAGATTTTTGCAGTTTTAGTGGGGATTTTAAGGCCCCTTCTCTTCCTCCTTTGCTCTCCCACAACCCCACAACTTCCACCTCAACACTACCCTTGGCTGCCAGCCCAGATTAAGAATCCACTGATGTCAAAGGGAAACTCAGATGCAATCACCAGCAGGCAGTGGTTTTTATGCTTGTTCACTGGAAATGAAGCCCTTCACAGTTCAGTGAGCTGTTTATCCGAGCAAATGGGAACAAACATTTACAGTGGTTCTGGCATGTTAAAACCTGTAGCAATAGAGAAAGTACTGAACTTGGTCTTAAAGTCATACTCTGAAGCTTTCCTAATAGTTTGATGGGGTTAAAAAAAATTTGGTCACTCAATCTACAGCTGTTTGTGGGACAGCTGCGCACAATGATTGCTGTATTTCACTCACAAAATATATAGTCAATTCAGTATATTCTGTGAAGCACTTTGAGATGTCTCAAGGACATGATAATGTGCTTTATCAAGTGCAAGGATTATTAATAAAGGCAAATATCCTGTGCAGAACTAAGCTGTACACAAACAAAAGTCACACATTTGAGTGCTGCTTATTGCAGTTACCTGATCTCAGCTACAACAGCAGTCAGAGCTCTACAATTCAGGTGTGATCATTGAGCAGAAGATGTGAAAAGAAAACATATTCCTATCAATGTACAGAACACATGCCCAAAATGGAACACATTTCCAAAATATACCATGATTTACCTTTTGTATCTGAGATATAATCACTTTTACTGCTGTTCTGGAGGTGATGGTGGCCAATGTGCTCTCATTCTGTGCACAATACAATTCAGCTTCTTGGTAAGGAAGCGTCACATTGTTAACAAACCAATATTCGTTCCCATTGATAACTACTGTGAGGCCGTGACTACTTTCTCCATCTGAGAAAAAGGCATAAAAAAAGGTCGTAGCCAAATGTTTCATCCATAAAATAACACAACAACAATTTGCATTTATATAGCTCCCCTCACGCAGGATAGTTTTCCCTTTAAACTGAAATCTAGATTCAATTTTCATTAAACAAAAAATGTCTTGGCTTGTTGACCTAAGATACATTCCAGCATTTTAAACAGCCTTTTATTCCCAACTTTAATCAGAGTGTGAAGGGCCATTGTACTCAAAACAGACCGTGTTCTCTGTAAATGGACTGATATGCCAATCAGCACTGTCTGCTTGTATTACAAAGAAAAGTTAATATTTCTAAAGGTCAGCTGCGGTTTTGTTTTCGATTTATGATCTTTAACGCGTTTCATATTAACATTTCCAGTCTAAAGCTTCAGGATTGAAAATTATCTGGAAAATGTTGCAATAAAAAAATGTTGCAGTAGAAAGTGTCATTTGTTTCAAGAACACATGATAGATTTCTGCTAGAAAATAATATCTTGGGATACGGTATATAGTTTGGGACACGACATGTCAAGCGACTTTGGTGGTTGATGCAATTGATGTTACTGTATTAAAATTCCAGAACTTTTGTTTGGACCAAGTCACATGAACTTCCTCTGAAGGGGTTGGACTTGTACTGTTTCAGATATGCCAAATCCAGAGTAATGTTAGGGTAATTAATGTCATATTGCAGTCTGATTTGAAATATTTCTTAATGGAATTCCTTAATACCAGCAATTTGCAATTTTCTGGGATCTTCAGTCAGGGAGAAACGCTAAAAACACTGTACAAAGATAGTGGGAGCCCGAGTTGGAGGGAGAATGAATGGGAAAGAATGTGCGTGTGGAAGGTGGGGAGGTGGTGGGTGCGGGCAAGAGCATTGTCATCAAAAAGATAGGTCATTGGATTTTGAAAACAGATAGAAAGAGAGAGAGATTTTGGAATGTTCCAGGAGGTGTGGGGAAGTGGCTGAAAGCTCGCAGAGGAGGGGATCAGGCAGATCGGAACTGGCACAGGTGATTTAGACAGAGGGAGCAAGGCTTCACTTACCAGGTACGTACCACTCTGGTATCTTCAATGCTGTTCCTGTCAAACAATCATGTTAACTATGTATTAAACATCATATAATAATATGTTTATACAAAAATTATAAACTATAAATTATGAAAAAAATTAAATGCATCAATAAAAATGGGCTGTGTATTTTCTGTTATTATCTGGCTGGGTTTTTATATTTCAAATAAGAATCAAGGCTTGATTTTTTTACTTGATTTTCTACCCACCCCCCCCCCCCCACTGCAATCATGTGGCCTATCAGAGTACACAAAGAAAAAAGGTTTAGAAGATGTAAAACCATCCCTGGGCTCTCCTTCGAGGGCAGAGAGCGATCAGTGCCGGGATCACTTTTCTGGGGGTAATAATTCATTCATAAATAAATAATAATAATAATTTGGTCACTCAATTCTCGATTGTTTGCAGGAGGCTGCTGTGCGCAATTGGCTGCTGAGTTTCGCCCACAAAATATACAGTCAATTCACTTCACAGTATATTTGAGACATTATAATACTGCTTTACAATAATTGTGGAAAGAACATTGGCTAATATATTGCCGAGAGATGAAAGATGAGCAGAGATGTACCTTTTGGAATCTGACACACCCACTCAAGCCTAATGTCACAGCGGAAAGGGACCAAGTAGTAGTCAAATGTGTCTTCAACCTCCCTCATAATATAATGGAACCACCACTGCCTTTTGGTCTGTGGAAATCACAAAGGAGACATATTTTAGATATTCTTTAATCTGAAATCATTTGTGTAGAAGCTCTCATCTGAGGATAGTAAAAGCTGAATATTGCTCACTGTAAAAGAGTCATGAAAATGAGGCACTTGACTGAAGAACATGGTGCACCCCCAGAGAGATCTTCAATTGTAAATTGATATCATTTTCGTATAATAATCTTTCTCTAAAAGAGGTGTAATTGATTTTTAAGTATACAAACTCTCGGTGCCTAAACTCTCGACTGAACACTTCACCTGTCCATTGAGACACAGATCAACGCTTCTCCTCACATCTCAGAACATTTCATAATTGGACTATGCACAGCCTGTATATATAGATAAGGAGAGACGTTTAATTCACATAAACAAATGGAAATCTCACCTGAAATGCACCACATTCTCGGATGCCATAATCTTCATTAAACTCATTGGGCAAAACTAACGAGGAAACCTATCAAAGGTTAGAAATATTCATCAGATAAAGGACAAGATCACAATAGCCAATGCTGTTTCATCAACAAGACAAAAGGTTTATCCAAAGTTACTTAGTTCCAATTAAATCCACTTGATCTACTGTGCGCAATTGACTGCCGGATTTCACCCACAAAATGTACAGTCAATTCACTTTACAATATATCCTGTGAAGCACTTTGAGACGTCTCGAAGACGTGATAATTTTTATTATATAATATATAACCTCAGTTTGACATCTCATACCCCAGCACTGGAGTGTCAGCTATAGAGTGTCAGAGTGTAAGCTCAACATCCTTGGGGTCTTGTGTTTGAGCACATATAATATTTACATCAGGAACGTGTGGAACTAATTACCACTGTGCTGTGAATGCTCAATTAAAGGATTTAGAAAGATGACGTCCACATTTCTGATTCTAGAAGGAATAAACGTGTATAATGCTTGAGTCCAGAAAATCATGAATAACAAAATGAGTTTGAGGGTTATACGGTGAACTTCAATAAGTCATATCCACTGGGACCATACATTCAATATGACGCATGTAAAGTATGAGTTACGGTAAACCTTACATAGAATATAAACTCTTGAATGGGACTTGGGCAGATGTACCACTTAGGTGAGTATATATGGAGTCCTGTAGCTCAGTGGTTAGAACACTCACCTGGCAAGCGAGACACCTGGGTTCAATTCCAGGCAGGGCGAAACCTTGGGCAAGTTTCCTTACATAATATAACATGTAGGAGCAGTAGTAGGCCATTCGGCCCTTCGAGCCTGCCAGCCATTCGATCATGGCTGATCTTTTAATCTAACTCCAGCTAATAAACTGACGCTGCCTTATCCCCATATCCCTTAATCTCTTTTGCAATAAGAAACATATCTATCTCAGTCTTGAATATGTTCAAGGACTGAGCGTCAACAGCCCTTTGGGGTAGTGAGTTACATACATTCACCGCCCTTTGAGTGAAGAAGTTCTTCCTCAACTCAGTGCGAAAGGGCTGCCTCTGATTTTCAGGTTGTGACCCCTGGTTTTAGTTTCTCCAACCAGGGGAGACAATCTCCCACTATCTACTCTATCATGCCCTTTGATGATCTTATAGGTTTCTATAAGATCCCCTCTAATTCTTCTATATTCTAGAGAATATAGGCCCAAATTGGTCAGCCTATCCTCGTAACTCATCCCCTTCATCCCTGGCACTAACCTAGTAAATCTACGCTGCACCCCCTCCACGGCAAGTACGTCCTTCCTTAAATAAGGAGTCCAAAACTGCACACAGTATTCCAGGTTGGTCTCACAGGGCCCTATACAGTTTCAGCAAGATTTCCCTACTCTTATACTCTAATCCTTTCATAATGAATGCTAACGTACCGTTCACCTTCCTAATTGCTGCTGCACCTGCAGACTAACTTTCTGTGATTGGTGTACAAGGACACCCAAGTCCCTCTGGACGCTAACACATTCCAATCTCTACCCTTCGAAAAAATAACCCGCTCTACTGTTTTTGCTCCGGTGGATGACTTCACACTTCCCTACATTATACTTCAACTGCCATCCGGACCGGGGATTTGTCACTTTTTAGTGCTAACAGTTTCCCGAGCACCAATTCTCTACTAATGAAAATTTCCTTAAGTTGCTCCCTGTCTTTATCCCTTTGGCGCATCTCTGTTGTTGGCAGACTTGTTGTGTCTTCTCGGGTGAAGACAGATGCAAAGTACTCATTTGGGACTCTGCCATGTCCTTATCCCCCATTACAACTTCTCCCGTCTCTGACTGAAGTGGACCTACATTTATCCTCACTAGTCTATTCCTCTTAATATATTTGTAAAAACCTTTACAATCAGACTTAGTGTTCCCAGCGAGCTTACCCTCATACTCCTTTTTCTCGCTCTTAATGAGTTTTTTAGTTTTTTTTTGTTGGTTTCTAAACCTCTCCCAATCTTCAGATTTGCTGCTTTTCTTGGCAGTTTTATAAGCTTTTTCTTTGACTCATTAATTTACAAAATGTGGTCAAACATCTAAAGGCAGAAACTCACAGGCCTGTTGTCACTCCATTCCCAAGATCCTCTGGAATTGGGATTTCTCTTGTTTAATCCAACCCAAAACCAGCGCTCATCACTGTTGAAGGAGAGAGAAAACAGAGAAGCTTTTACATTTCTACATTTCAAATAGAAAATCTTTTACACTTATTAAAATAACCTTCAGTGCTCATTTTGATGGTTTTAGCTGCAGGAAACTTTACTTAGTAAAGTACATAGTTTTGCTCACGGTGACAAAAGGCTTCGGAGGTGGTGCAGAGAAGAGCAATAATAATAATAATCCTTGCATTTGATATAGCGCCTTATCACATCTTCGAGATGTCTCAAAGCGCTTCACAGCATATACTGTAAAGTGAAGGTTTTGTGAGTGAAAAATGGCAGCCAATTGCGCACAGCAGCGTCCCACAAACGGTCTGGTTTGGGTTTTCTTTTGAGGGATCAAATTAGCAAGGAGGCATCTGGTTTAAATTACTGTTTACAAGCCATGTGAGTGAGCCATTCTCCGGAGCGACAGTAAGTCCTGGAGTCCTGTAGCTCAGTGGTTAGAGCACTCGCTTTGCAAGTGAGAGACCTGAGTTCAATTCCAGGCAGAGGGTGAAACCTTGGGCAAGTTTCCTTACTCCACACAGAGCCTAATAATAATCCCTCCAAAACGCAAAACAATAATAAATTGGTCATTTTCAATCTCCGACTGTTTGTGGGACATTGCTGTGCGTAATTGGCTGCCGCGTTCGCCCACAAATATACAGTCAATTCACTTTACAGTGTGTTCTGTGAAGCGCTTTGGGACGTCCTCCCGACATGAAAAGCACTATATCAAATGCAAGGATTATTATTATTATTATTTATTAAAGTGAAGTCAGACGTGTTTGTGCACGTGTTACATACGTGATTGTTGTCCTCAGCAGCTTGTGAAGGTAACTCATCTCCTCATTGTGGCTGAAACTTGGCAAGTGGCCTCCAAATGCCTGACAGAATTTCTCCGCCTCCTCCCAGGTCCTCTTGCTAATCACCCTCTCATGATGGAAAATCTAAAACATTTGCAATGATATTTATTTACTCTTTCCTCTCAGTTCCTCTACAAAACTAGTAACTCCATCCCACAATCCCTTCATCTCACCCCCTCCCTTGCCTCCTTTAAGACCTGTCTCAAGACCCTGCTCTTCATCCAGCCTTCGAAGGTACACTATTAAACCCCAATACTCCCAAGCTGTTAGTGTGTCTTTACCTTGTAGCAGAACGGAAGAGTGGTGTCAGTCACCCAACCAGGAGGGCAGGAGCCTGTTGGAGGTGAAGGATCAGGTTCTGTGGTGTTTCCAATGCTCTTCTTACAAATAGACATGGCTTTGAACATTTTGCAATTCTTGACTTCCCAGCGTCCCAGAGCCTTCCCTGAGCCCAGCACAGCACAGCCTCCAGCAGTCTCTGTAACACAGGAAAACTGGCCATTACTACTGCACGGAAAATACCTGAACACTGGAAACCTTCAAATCTAACTGCAATGAACATAGTTTTTGATTGAAAACAGTCTGATAATCAACAGGAAGAGGCAATTCACGGACCTTTTCATTAGTAAATCTCATCAAATTATCTATATGAAAAACACTGGTTTCCTTCACAAATGTCCGACAATCAACAAATGAAAAGACAGAAATTCAACCTTGGGCAAACTGTGGGCCATCAATGCCCCAATTTACTGGCAAATTAATTGTCCTGTAAACATCATCAATAAGCATGAACGGAATTGGAAATATTGCTTTGTGTAAACCTCCAACTTGTTTGCCCACAGTTGAATTTCTGTCTATAATAATAATTCTTGCATTTGATATTGCGCTTTTCATGTCTTCTAGACGTCTCGAAGCGCTTCACAGAATATACTGTAAAGTGAATTGACCGTATATTTGTGGGCGAAACGCAGCAGCCAATTGTGCACAGCAGTGTCCCACAAACAGTCGTGGATTGAAAATGACCAATTTATTATTGTTTTGTTTTGGAGGGATTATTATTAGGTGTGTGGAGTAAGGAAACTTGACCGAGGTTTCGCCCTCTGCCTGGAATTGAACCCAGGTTATAGAGCTGGGCGGGTTGACTCGATAAAGCTGATAAAATCTGAGTGCCTCAACATTAATATTCTAACGGGAGCTTCACATGGTTTATCCCAGTGTGATCCATTCCACCCAGCAAAGTTTTTCGAAAAGTTCTTAATATATTTGCCAAAGCACTTTTAGCACAAAACAAAGGCCATCCTTTAGCTGATGTAGAACTGTTAGATGTGTATTGTGATGAGAGTACTTGGTGTATGTTTACTTACCCGGTTGATATACATTCCAGTTTGTATATGTTACAGGTTCATTTCTTCTGCCTCTAGGAAGCCATGTGTATTCTCCAGTTTTATTTATATCCTGTAGACTAGTCCAGAAGTACTTGTCATTTTCTGTGGTATGTTTTCTAATCAAGCTTTCAATAAACTCCTGTTCAAACCTGTAATATGTTCAAAAGAATGCCTCTTAGCACAGGGTTAGCTGTTTATTCCTGCTTTTGGGGGCACACACATCAGGAAATTGTTGGCTTCCAAATCAATCATTGATGCAATGCATTTGTCCCAGTGTGAAATTTACTGTAATAATAATCCTTGCATTTCACAAACAAGCTGTGCAGTTTTAACTGGTTAAACTCCAGCTTTGATTCTCACCAACCTGCGCCTAAGACTCTCTAGAATTGGCAACTTCCTGGTGTTTGGAATGGAATGTCCACGGTGGTGCTTATGTGGAACTATGTCTGGGTTGAATATTCTTATGCATGGTGATGTGGTTTCTGAAAGTTTCAGATATTTCACAAACTAAAAAAATCCCCCACTGCTGGGTAAACCTCCTTCCTTGTGCTCTCAGGAGTTTCAGATCAGGTTAATTATGCTGAAGCGGGGAACTTATTGCGCTTCAATGGTTAGGCTGAAGCTTGCAAGATTGTTCTACTCCTAGCTTGCTGCGGAGCCCATTGTGGTTCTAACAGGTGCTTTCAGTTAATATTAGCAAGTGCCTTTTGGTCCTTTATATCAAGAATATTAAACCAAAATATTAAACCCTAACCTAGTACAAAAGTCTCAAATCTATTCTCCGATACACATTCAGTTTGTTCCAGGCTTAGGAGTGTATTATTGCAGTTACAAAATTACACCAATAAGATGAAAATGTTCAATTGAGCTGTGTTGATATTCTAATCCACGACTGTTTGTGGGGACGCTGCTGTGCGCAATTGATTGCCAAGTTTCACTCACAAAATATAGTCAATTCATTTTATAGTATATTCTGTGAAGCACTTTGAGACGTCTCGAAGATGTAATGAGGCACTATATCAAATGCAAGGATTATTATTTTTAATCATCACATGGCTTTGGAGCCTGGACAGGTTTCATACTTCACAAATATTAAGGCTTGAATGAGCATCATCGTAAAAATGTAAAACACCAACTAAAAAAAAGGCAATGAAATGAATAAGAATCCTTGCATTTGAAATAGCGCCTTATCACATTGTGACGACGTCTCAAAGCTTCACAGAATATACAGTAAAGTAGATTGACCGTGTACAAGGGTTTAATCTACCTGTTTTGTATGGTCAGGTGACAGTTAGATTCAAACGTCACTTCTGTTGGATCAAGTTTGTAGCAGAAATTTCCATGTCTTTTCCAGTTCTACAAAAGAAAGAGGTCTTATTCACTCATTCTAGACATTTAATTATCAAAGATCTAATACTCATTGGGACATTTTACACCATGCTTATGTTTATAGTTATATAAAGCATTATGAACAACCAATATGGGAAACTGCACTATACCAGATCAAGCAATTTTATCATCGGAATAAATTCTCTTTGTTTAAGAATATACGAATTTGCTGACGAAAGAAAACTAAGTTCCATCCAGTTCGCCTTCCACCATCCTGGCAGTCGCTTGACATGTCGTGTCCCAAACTATATACTGTAACCCCAGATATTATTTCCTAACAGAAACTATCTTATTTGTTCTTGAAACAATCGGCACTTTCTGCTTCCACCGTGTCCCTAGGGAGCCTGACAAAAACAAAATCAGTGTTTCAGTGGAATGATTACCTTTTCCTGAGGACAGCCTGCATCGGACAGCCCCGTGTCATTCGCAATGTTGCCTGTCTTTTTGCAGATGTATGATAACTTTGTGCTACATTCTTTAACCTTCCATCGACCCAACTGTAAGAGATTAACAGGATTTTATCATCAAAAAATTAATCCCAAAAAATCTATATTTCTCAATTACCAATGGCATCCCAGCCTTAAAACAAGGTGTGAGCAGTGACGTGGTCTAGTCTGGTTCAGGCTTTTAAAAGTGGGATCGCTTTTGTGGAGATGCAAGCTGACATGAAGTGGAAAAAAGACAGATAACAGGTGCCTTTTCTGCCACAGCTGAACAGCCATAGGGATAATTCACACATATACAGCGATAATAATCACCCAAATACAGAGATAAATCACATGTACAGCAAACCTGGTGAAAGTTTTTTTTTGATTCTGAACATTGCCTTTTCCTCCCTCTCAGCGACTATCCAACAACAGCAATAAATGACATTTACATGGTGCCTTTCGTTGTTGGGAGGATGTCCCAAGGCACTGAAAGTCAGGAATGTGGACCAGAGCTGGGATCAGGAGGGGTGGAGGGTAGAAAGGATAGGGGTAGGAGGGTACCCATGTACTATGACTTGCCTTTCCTGAATAGTGAACACAGTGCTGCGAAGTGTTGAAGGGAACATTAGGTTCATTTTGGTCCCAGTAAGTGAAGGTCACAATCGATCCATCTGACCACTCAAACAGGGCTGGGGATTGGTTACTTCTCAATCCAGCCCACACTTCATCTTCAAACCCTAGAGTGAAAACATAAAGAAGCCTACACCAAAAATAGCTCTGAAAATTCCGTAAATAAGGATTATTTTTAAAAATTACCAGCCGACAGCTCAGCCTCACTCCCAACATCATGCACAATTTATCCTTCAGTCAACTTTTCCTGAATTCTCATATCTGTATGTATCTAATTTCCCTGCACATTAATACCAGCTAATTTTAAACGCAGTAGATTTCTAGCAACATTTAGTCCTTGTACAGTTTCCCCTTTTTGCACACATTTAAACTAGGAAGAAAACTAAGAGAACATTCCTTCCTGAAACCTAGCTTGTGTCTGAGCCCCAAACCACACATTGGTAGAATAACATCCTGCAGTAATGTGCATTATGTGGATTTTGCAGTAGCAATCTGGTCTTTATCGATAATTATCTTTGTGAATGGAGATGATCATAAAGGAATTGGTTAGGGTAGCTGCAGAGAAACTATTTCCTCTGGTGGGGAATTCAGAATAAGGAAGCATCATCTGAAAATTAGAGCTAGGAGTGAATTAAAGTAAAAAATAACTAGGAGTGAAATCAGGAAGCATTTTTTCATGCAAAGGCTAATGAAAATCTGGAACTCTCTCCCCCAAAAGGCTATGGATCCATTCACATTTTCAAGACTGATGTGGATAGATTGGTCTCATCAATTGATTTTTGCCAGAAACAAATCTTCTCTGGGAGGGGAGTTGGGATAAATGGTCCATTTTAAATTGTACATTTTATTGTTGCCCTTTATCTCAGATATGGTTCACATTACAGATTTAATTTTCCTAACTTCCTATTCTGCGATCGCTTTCCTGGATTGTTAGAATACTTCAGTAACAGAATATTAAATATTGAACAGGTGTTAAATTTAATTATTGATCAACTTTACCAAGTGACATACAGTTCTGTATTGAATAAACCCACTTTCTCTTACCATCTTATGTAAAGAAACATGATCATTATTTTTATTCAGATCTATCTTTGTTGCCAGAAAATAATAATAATCCTTGCATTTTAATATAGCGACTTATCACATCTTCGAGACTTCTCAAAGCGCTTCACAGAATATACTGTAAAGTTAATTGACTGTATATTTTATGTTGTGGGCGAAAAGGGCAAAACTCAAGACAAGACTGCATGCTTCTTACCATCATGTAACTTAGTCACAACCAACTCCACATCTGCCAATGAATGGAGGCTCATCAGTTCACTTTGCTTGGATTTGCAGGAACTTCTTGCATCATCCCAGCTTAACTTTTCCTTGTGCATAAAATAGCAGAATCCATTGTAAGGCAGCCAACCCGCTTCACATTTTGTGTTCGAAAACTGCCAGGGATCTGCAAATGAAATACCCAAAGCAAAACGTGCCAAGAGTTAATTGAATCTATCAAATACCATATGATTTCCCCACATGTAAACTGCCTCTATTGTCCTTCAGCTTAGTATTTGTCCTTTTAATTATTACAGCCAATTATTACCTTCCAAATAGTGTAAATTATAACAAAAAAAACTATTAAATGTCTAAATTTGTCTTGTTAAGAAACGTGCTTGCTTATATTTCTAAGCATATGATAGAATTAAAATCTACTGAGAAGGCAAGATTTGATGCCAAATTTATGAGGACAACTTATCACAGCTTTCTGAATTTTATGAAGACTAGAGTTACTGTATTACATCTTGTTTGGTTGCCCAGAAGGCGAGTGTCATTTATTTAGATCTTGAACATTACAAGGATTGGGTTTCTACATCCATTGTTAACACTACAAAATACTGATCAAAGAGTGTCACTAACAACCAATTGTTAGAGACAACAGCAACAAAATTATATTTGAATAGCACCTTTCATGTCAGGGGGAAGTCCCAAGGCGCGGGATATAGGGTATGGAAGGCAAAAAGAAAGTACAATATGATGGCGGGTGGGTGGGGGGGGGGGGGGAAATTCAGCGAGTGGAAGGATCTGCAGTATTTTTTTTAGACAATATGATTTCTGAATTCTGGTAATAGCAAATATCCAACAATGGTTAACTTTCAGTTAACACTTACCAATTGTCTCCAAACTTGACTCATTCAATTGTTTTTTACAAACGTATGGCAGGGAAACTTCACACGGGTTCATTTGCCAGCGACCTTGAGATTCAGTATTTATCGTTGCACAGCTGGTGTCTTCAATAGTGGACCTGCCAAATATACCTAAACACAACAATGGTGATGTTTAGCTGAGAGCTCTCACCGGCTGCTATCTGAGCAGTAACTGGAGCAGGGCCAGAGGGTTCAGTTGAATAAATAAAAATGCTGCTTCCTGGATCTGAAGAACCTGCAGTTTTTCTTTTCAATCAACTGCCCTTGACCTACTTTATAGAACCAGGCAAACAGAGATGGGAAAACTGAAGAAGGAAAATGCAATGTGAATAAATGAACAAGCCAAAGCGGAAAACACACAGTAAAGCGTACAAGCGCAGAGAAATAAGGAGATAATAGGATGAAGGAAAACAAAAGGTAATTAACAATCCTTGCGTTTGATATAGCGCCTTATCACGTTTTTGAGACGTCTCAAAGTGCTTCACAGAATATACTGTAAATTGAATTGACTGTATATTTTGTGGGCGAAACACAGCAGCCAAAGTACGAAGAGAGGTAGAGACTTATGATGATGAAATAAATCATTGTTTGTGAGGTACAGAAACAAGAAGTAGAAGAGTAAAGAATAAACAGAACTCAAAATGTAACATAATCAAAGAAGGGCAAAAAGGAGGGAAAGACGACTTTGAGCAGTGTTTAGATTGGCTGATTCTGACTTCTCTCAGACATAGTCATTTTACACAACATATACATATTCAAAAACATTTAAAAGTAGTTAGTTACAGTGATTTACAAGCGAATCATCAATGTGAATTCTGAGTTGAGGCAGTCTAGAAACCAATAGGTTTCTGCTTCTATTAGAAAGGCATTTTCGGTGAAAAATATTTATTTACCAGAGTCCCAATTAATAAAAACCACAGGGGTTCCATCTGCCCACTGCCACCCTCCAGCAGTGTTCATCTGATTCAGACCAATCCACAGAGCCTTTGGAATGTCTGGTTGCCCTGAAAGTTAAAAGGAAAATAATACTATTATAACTAAAGCCCTCGCAGAAACACATTACTATTATTATTACTGTTTATTTAGGAGCGAGTCCTGTAGGGAAAGAGGTGAAACAACTTAGAAAGTGAAGAGAATCATTGCCCAATTTTTCACGCTTTTACTGAGTGAATTTGTTCACAATTTTGTAACGGTCTCCAGAGGAGTATTTCCTGGTAAAATGGAAATCATCTTGGGCAAATCACATAGACCTCAGGAGCAGATACTTGGGCTGGATTCGAGCTTTGTGTGGCACACAGACCTGGGACTTGAAGTGAAGGTAAAGCTTGCACACCATTGTGGAAATTCCAGTCAAAGTGAAAGTTTTTCCAATGACCAACACACGACACGGCTGCAGTGGAAATTTCGTATTATACATCTTCTTGTTATGTTCAGGAACTGAACAAGGATAAATTTACCACCAGAATATGCAATAGCATCCTGTTCACAGAACCAGAGAACTTCACAGCACAGAAAGAGATCACCCGGCCCGTCAGGCTTGAGTCAGTTATTCTCCTTGTGTGGGGGGAGGGGGAGGTAAACGGGTTCTCCTCGGGCTGAACTGGATTCAGGGTGTTCCAGGATGATGACAGCACAGCTCATCGGCAGGACCTGGAATCTTCCCCCTCAGCTCCTGTAAACCCTGCAGCCAAAGCTCTAATGAGTAGGGTGGTCCTCGCTGGACAAGCAGCGGGGAAGCTTGCTAGACAGCAATATATTGGGTTTTCTGAAACACCTATTCATTTATTCCCAATTGCCTATCCCTGTCCCACTTTAATGTGTTTCAAATATATGTCTATTGTACCTTTTAGAGATACTGTTGTTAATTCTGCTATAACCATTGTTTTCAGTGTTGATTTCACCTATTAACTCTGTGTGTAAAAAAAATTCTAACCCCTGCTTTTGCTTTTTGGGGCGATAATCTTATGTAAGATCATAAGAATTTGCTGGACGAAAGAAGACCAACATCATCTAGTCCACCCTCCACCATCCTGGCAGTCGCTTGACACATCATGTCCCAAACTATACACGGTCTCCCCAGATATTATTTCCTAAAATAAATCTCATTTGCATTTGAAAGAAAGAAATAATGTAATTATTTGGGCCGTTTCAATGGGAATAAATCGAGAAATAATAATAATAATAATCCTTGCATTGCCTCATGAGAAATGAGGCAAAGAGGTCAAATAAGTCAAAGAGAAAAAGAGATCATTTGAAATATCATTTTATTTGTTTAACATGACAGAACACCGGTGTAGATACTCTCTATACGATTTGAATGGGAAACAAATCTGCTCTGCCTTGAACTAACAGTTTCACTTACCAACAATGTAGTTTTGTACAGTTACATTAGCGATGCTCAGTAAATCACCACCTTGACTTTGGCAGGAAAGACGAGCCTCCTTCCAGGAGAGAAGGGAGTGAAAGTTATACTGGTAACAAGCATGTCCTTCCTCAGCCGCCTCCCACAAGTGACTGCATCCTGAGTCTGGAGAAGAAGGAGCGCGACAATAGTTACTTTTAGCTTTACCCGCTGGGTACACAAATAAATAGATTGGCTGGAAACATTACAGGGAATATTACTTAGGAACTGGGAGGGCGAAAAAATCTTACATTCAATCTTAAATATGAAGCGCTCTGAGACGCTACCCTGTGTGGAGGGCGCTACACAGTGTAAGCGGCTGCTGCTGTTGTTGTGAAGTGTCTGTGCAGAGACAGAAACATTGTAAACTCCGGATACGCTCGTCAATCGAAGGGGAAAGGGACCGAGTGACAGATTAGCTGATGTGACGAGTTGGCCGAAGGGACCTCAGCTTATGCTCCCAGACCTCTCGGCACAGCGACAGCGACACGCACGTCGGGCGGGTCAGTCACTGGACAGGACGAGGGGCTCCGCGATGTAAGACGCCCTCTTGTAGGTCCAGTTATCTGATCAATTTTGCAACCCAAATTCTCACAAGAGTTTTGACGAGTTACGTGTTAAGCAGAGTGACGAGCAAAGTGATGTGCGTTCCTTATTACTGCTTATACAACAACAACAACTTGCACTTATATAGCGCCCTCCATGCAGGGCAGCGTCTCAGAGCGCTTATATGGGAAGCAGCTGAGATGCTGATGGCATGATGACTTAAAAGTGATAGTGACAAGTTAAGACAGGGTGGAGTTATCCAGAGTTTACTATATTTATCCTTAATTAGGATATTGAACATGGATTACCCCCTTTTCGGCCAAGCTTATGGGTTAGAACATACGAAAGAAAAAGCAATTAATTTACACATCTTCAGAAGCTACAAAATACAAACACTTTTATAAACATAAAGAATTCCCAACACTTCAAAACAATGCACCAAAATCACAATATTATTTGTATCTCTCTTCCCTGAATTACTAATAAAGCTAATTTTTTTTCACAAGCTGGGTTATTGAATATTTTTAATGAGATTGTGAAAAGATGCCAAAAAAAGACAATAATCATTGCACACTGGCATATTTGTGTCATAATTTGATCTCGATTTGCAAACCTAGTCATTACTTGCCTGGTTTCAAACAATTCCCCCATTTCTTATCCATATCATAGTCAATAGTTGTTGAGCACCATTGAGCTCCACCGCCTTTTTCATTGACACAGTCATGATACCAATTGCCTTCATGTTTAAATGGAAAGACGCATGGTTTCCCGTAGGAATTTCCCCGAGTTGTGTAAATGTCTGTGGAGGCAAATAGAAGTTAAACAATGTAATGTTGGTTAGAATGTTTTTCTTTTCCTCTTTTAAGTGCTACATAGGAATTGATAGAGCCATTAACCTGTCTTAAATAATAACAACAGTAATAATAGCAATGAAGCCTTTGTAGCTGAAGGAAAAGATTATAGTTTCCACCACAATCTACCGATAAAACGATTAATCACGTTTCTTCAAACACTGTAAAGTTTCCTGCTTTGCTGTGAGACAAATCTCAGTTGTAAATTGGCAAGTGCTGACAAGGTTATAGCCATAATCAGCTCCATTTCAAAAAATCTAATAAATGAACACGGATGGTCTGGGGAGAGGCAAATAAGCAGCAGGAAGTTTTTAGCATTTTTTAAAATTTAAACTGTAACGCCGCTTTTAAATTTACTGCACGTTACCACAAGCATTAAAACCAAAAAGGTTGCATTACTCCAAGAGACATTTATGTAGGCCTCAAATCAAACTAAATTGTAAATACTGTGTCTGTTGTTTTCAGCAGCTTGTTATAAAATGAGGAAGGATTCTAGAGGGGACAGTGGTGTCATCTCAACCACACACAGTGTCTCACTGTCTCATTGTCACACAACATCCTCTGGGTTTATCAGTAGCCTCTAAATGCTAATAATGTTGAGCAGAACAAGCACTCTGCAGTTTGTTTTGTTTGTAGTGAAACCGGTCCTGGATTGAGCAGCGAGAGATGGCTTGATACTGATCGAGGTGTGACAAGTTGGTCATGTGATTTCTTCATTTGTGCCTCACAGAGTGAATAAAACACTTAAACTGTTTCACTTTCAGCGACTGGTGCAATACTTGGCAGCAACTGCTAGAGCACGTCTGGAACAATCTCAAAAATCTACAGAAAAACACAAATTATTCCTGCTTATTTCAAATAATTCTCCAGTGTCTCTGCCCACACTTTCCAATGTAAAAGTGCATTAATTCCACTTTGTTCTTTATCTCTACAATCCACCTCTTCTTAGAAAAGGCCTATAGTGATTGTTTAACAATACTGTCCACGTCTGATTGTTTCTATACTGCAGCTTATAAAGCAATAAAATATTAATATTAATCCTGGCATTTGATAAAGCGCTTTATCATGACATGGAAGTGTCTCAAAGCGCTTCACAGTATATATTGTAAAGCAAATTGAATGTATATTTTGTGGTAGAAATGTGGCAGCTAATTGAGCTAATTGAGTGGCTAAATTCTTTGATATATATATTTTTTGAAGCAATTATTACCCCAGAAAGCGATCTGCCAATCGACTACTTACTGCTAATAAAATTAAAAAAAAGATCTTTGAGCAATGAACCTTCTCCCTTCCACCAGATCAAGAACAAGTTAACATGGATTTTCCTTGAATGATTACATGTACTGAAAACGACTGCACGGATATGATGCAGCAGCTATAGTTTGAACTTGCGCTGTGAACAGGGCACAACATTGGGATAACTGGTTGTTTTATTATATTTTGGGTAACAGCCTATTTGCATGCAGGATTCTGCAGTTTGCAAAACAAAAGCATATCATTAAGTATTATCTTCTCTCTCTACCGCAGTCTAGTCTTCATCTCGTTTGCACCAAGTTCCATTGCCTTTAATCGTCTACACCTGTTTTAGTATTTTTTGAATGAAGTGATAGTAAAAGTGATGATTTGGAAGCTCCAGCATTTACATTGCCATATATTACATTTTCATTTTGCAGGAAACTTTATATTCTACACAGCTACAAACTCTGATTATGTTGACTAGCGACTCCCATCTGCCAGTTTAAATTCCACTACTGAAAATCATTAGCTTAGGTTAAATATTGTTTAGTACTGTTAAATATTTGGGTCAAAGCATCAGGATGAAATGTCTCCCTTATAAAGCTGTGTGAGTGAAATTGCTTCCTGTTTAGCCAAGTTATAAGTCATTCTGTCACATTCATGTGTTTCCAATGCATAATTTCTCTTTTTCCAGTTTTCAGCTTTTGCTGTTCTTTCTCTATCACATCATTAGTCGCTCGTTGCAAAAGTCCATTTATAGTAAAATCTTTGCATTTGATCTACTGCCTTCCCTGGTCTTCCATATGTCTCAACCCGCTTCACAACTATACAACAACAACTTGGATTTATATAGCGCCCTCCACGCTGGACGGCGTCTCAGAGCGCTTTACAGTTTAGGATCCTGGGACCGAGCCAGGGGGAGGGGTGGGAAGGTGACCAAACAACAACATCAACAACAACAACAAATTACCTTTGCCTTTCATGTCAGGAGGACGTCCCAAGGTTCTGAACAGTCAGAGATCAGACACCATATATACACACGCATACACACCGTATATACACACACACACCACACACACACCACACACACACACCACATATACACACACCATATATATATACACACACACAATATACATACATACACACACCATACATACACACACACACCATACATACACACACCATACGTACACACACGCCATACATACACACGCCATACATACACACGCCATACATACACACACACCATACATACACACACACCATACACACACACACACACCATACATGCACACTCACTGTAGATATACACACTATATATACACACAGACCATATACATACACACCATATATACACACACACCATATATACGCACACACAACCATACAAACACACACCATATATACACACACACACCATATACACAGACACAAAATATACACACACACTATATATATACACACACACTATATATACACACACTCCATATATATATACACACACATATATACACAGCATATATATATACACTCCATATATATATAGACACACACAGCACATATATACATACACACCCACCGTATATACATACACATAGATACCATATATACACACATACACCATATATACACAATACACCACATATATACACACACACACACCATATACACACACACACACCATATATACCTACACACACACCATGTACACACACATACACACACATGTAGCTAGAAAGGAAAATTTGTGCAGGGCTATGGGGTAAGAGCGGGGGAAGTGGACTTGTTGGTAGCTCTTTCAAATAGACAGCACAGACACGATGGGCCTCTTTCTGTGCCACAAGATTACATGATTCTGTAAGTGGATTTCCATCATATCCTGCATATCATATTTAGCGACCAAACAAATCAGTACTTTACTGTAACAGCAGTAACATTTGGTGTATAACAACAATTGTACCTACCACGATATGGCTGCTCACAAACATGTCGCTCTGAGTCGCCCTGTGTCCACAAATCATCTGAGTCTATGCTCACTGTAGGAGAGTTTTTCTTTACAGACAGTTTATGGTGAGCTGTGCCATACACACTGCTACTCTCACAGCGCCACCACAGAGCGGTTATCTTCACATCACACTGAAACATTCTCAATTGTTGGGGAAATTTGTTGGAGTCGATGCCGAGGCACATTTTGGTGCCAATGTTGAACAGTCGGTGTTCAGACACCCACTTCCATTGTTGAAAAGAGTCTAGTTGATCGCATTTATTCATAGCCATTATATTGTTCTTGACATCGAGACATTTCTTGCTGTTCTGATGCTGAATTGTAAAGATACCATTTCCTGAAAGCACCAAGTGAGAAGATAAAAAATAAGTTGATTAATAAAGGTTTATTTTGCAGAAGGCAATCAAACGTTGATTAAGTTAAAGCAAAGTATAGACAACACCATGCACTTGTATAACGCTCTCCATGCACGGTAGCATCTCAGAGCGCTGGTTTACAGAATAGAGCTGACACCAGGGGAATTCCAGCTTGTGTCACAAACACACACACTATATATACACACACACCAAATGAGACCAAAGTTACCAGTGTGTGACAAGGGTCATCCTGATTAATGCAATAACAAAGCATTTCATAGCCTTTCATGTTGCTTTGTGTAATTACAAATAGGAGGTGAATAATTTTCTTCAAAATGAACTTTTTTTTACCATTTAGTTTCACTGTAGATTGTTACCAATATGGAGGTACAGTACTCCCAATGCCAGACTACTTTTATACCCAAAATACCTTGTAAATCTCCGAAGTGGTATTGAAGTAAATGGACAATTGCAGACCTAAATATTTTAACTTTCAGAGAAATTATGGTCACATTACCAAAAACATTAGTGGTGAATGTGGTGAAAAGTCAGTTTGCAACAAATATTGGTACAGCAGAAGTCACATAAGTCTAATATTTATAAATAGTATAATGGCCTAAGTGGTACATCTGCCCAAGTCCCATTCAAGAGTTTATATTCTTTAAAATTTGACATAAGTCATACTTTGCGTCAGACATATTAAATGTATGGTCCCAACTGATATGCCATGCAAGGTTTTACTCTATAACATACTCAAATTTAAGCTAGTATTTAGAAAAGGAAAATAGTTTCAAGAACGTTATTGCACATGGGCCAGTTTGTTGGGTCACACCATTTAATATGTTACTTTTTCCCCCATTAGGTGAACATCAGTAAATCAGCACAGAATAGAGATAAGATCATCAACCAGTGCACTGGATGTGATCAGCTTTTATACATCACAGTGCAGGGTCACAGTCCCGAACCCTTATCTACTGCAGCTTCATCTGGAAGCAATATAGTGACTATCCATAAACCCCAAAGTAATCATTAAACCAGGAATGTTGGCCTCTGGTCCCCATTCACATCAGTGAGAACATTTATAGCAGGTAGTTAGTGAGTTAGTCAGCTGTCTGCAGGAGGTTATTCTTTCTCAAGTAGAGAAAGCTGAGGGGAGAGGGAGTGAGGGGGCGATCAACCTCCAAATGGGAGAAGATTCCAATAAAATGGGAGAACGGGGAAAAAAAATACATTTAAACAATTAAGAGCATGAGTTTTATTTTCTTAAAATGAACCAAAGCAGCACAGCACATGACACCAAGCAAACAGGTACGTGCTGTGTACAAACTGTCTTGTTTGCATCAATCAGCACAGAATATAAACAACTACACTATCAGCTCAAACCATAACCCTTCAGCCACAGACATCAGAGCCATAACCCAATAACACAAACTGCTGCTCAGATGTGATGGCGAGGAGTCTGATAACAAGTATCTGACATGTTTACAGCGATTCAAATAAACAAACTGCCTGACCTCACACACACACAACACAACACAACACAAGGACACAACATACTGCCACTGACTGTCCTCAGCACCACCATCTCTCACCTGTACTGATGCCAACTGTAACCTCCCCGGACAGTGCTGTGAGCAAACACAGCAGAGCCCGAGCGGCACTGGGTCTGTGTCTCCAGCCATCCATCCCGCAGGTCAGGTGGAGCTCTGTGTGTGAGTGTCTGTGCCACTCGGTGGCTGTGTCTGTGGCTCTGTGTGTGTGTGTCTGTGCCACTTGGTATCTGTGTGTGTGTGTGTGTCTGTGCCACTCGGTGGCTGTGTCTGTGCCACTTGGTATCTGTGTGTGTGTGTGTGTCTGTGCCACTCGGTATCTGTGTCTATGTGAGTGTCTGTACCTCACTATCTCCCTCTCGGCTGCCAGGCTCTGGAGCTGCTGAGGGGGAGCCTGAGACAGTCTGGATTGGCTCTGCCAAGTGTCTGTCACCTTCCAGCTCGCGGTGTCTCTGCCTCTCTCTGGAGCTGATCACTGAACCGCACCCTTCAGTGGAACTGCAACCAACATGGACTTGTCCCCAACTGTGTCTGACTCAGTCACTCAGCAAAAACTCTCATCATTTTTCTTGAGATTTCTGGAAATTGATGCTTAGGGAAGTTGAATTAGAGAATTATTTAGAGTTTGCATAAACACTAATTAAATGGCAATAGTACAATAAGGAGATATAAACTTATAGAAACTTGCTTTTTGACCTTTTCTACACCCCTGGGAAGATCCGAAACATTACTTCCCAAGTTATAGTTTTTAACCAATTTAATGTTTGTAGCTTCCTCCAAAACTATTATTTTATTTTAACAATTTGTGTGACTTCGTCTTGAGGGGAAACCATAAAATACAGAAGTCATGGATTCATATAACACTTTCTGTTTCATTATGAACATTGTGAGGAAAGGTTTGGGTAAATTCCAATGTGATGTGACGCAATCTAGTTTGGAGAATACCTTGCGATCTGCATTCTGGGTGCACTTGTTTATCCTTCCATCAGGATTGCTTCCCCTTTACCTTTCACGGCTAACAATTGCCCGAATAAAATTGGCCAGTCACTTCATGGCTGTTTGTGAGACATTGCTGTACGCAAATTGGTCGTAATATTTACCTACAAAAATGCACAGTCATTACTGTACTACTCTCATGACCAACTTTACAGAGATTTTGAGGCAAGATTTGACTAAAACTGCAGCTCGGGGAAAAAATCTAATCGAATGATGGTATTTTTAACTTTTTTTAAATAATAATGTAGAAATAACTAGAAATTTGAAATAAAAAAATGATTTTTTTCTGTGGCTAAAGTGGGGGAAAGCAGATTTACTTAATTTATTCAGACATGGATGTGGGCAGCAAATATTTCTGTACACTTCCCCACATTTGAGTATGTGCTGACTCAAGCTCTGTATTGTTAAATTGCGAACACATTTTCCTCATTTATGAAAGAGAACAACAAGATTTCATTTTAGGGCGCCTTTCACGTCGGGAGGATGACCCAAGGCGCTGGACAATTGGGTCGGGACCTGAGCAGGGGGGAAATGGTCAGGGTGAGGGGAGGGAAGAGAGGGAACGAGGAGGGGGGGAATGGTCAGGGTGAGGGGAGGGAAGGGAGGGAGCGAAGAGGGGGTAGAGAGTCGAGAGGGGAGCTGAAGGTACAGTCAAAGAGAAAGGTCTTGAGACCGGCCTTGAAGGAGAAAAGGGAGGAAGCGGCGAAGGCACTGGGGGATGGAGTTCCAGAGCCTCGGGGCTGAGAGGCTGAAGGCCCGGCCACAGATGGTAGGGCAGTTGGGGAGGGGGATGTGGAGCAGACCGGAGCCAGAGGAATGGAGGGTACGGGCAGGTACGTGGGGGGATAGTAGGTCGGAGAGGTCGGCGAGGTAGGAGGATGCAAGGCCATGAATGGCCTTGTAGGTGAGGATGAGGATCTTGAATTTGATCCTCTGGGGGATGGGAAGCCAGTGGAGGCGAGCGAGGGTGGGAGTGAGGGGGAGGGTTAGGGTGGGAGTGATGTGGTCGCGAAGCCTGGTGCGGGACAGTACACGAGCTGCAGAGTTCTGAATGACCTGCAGTGTGGAGGGAGGGCCGGGAAGGCCGGTGAGGAGAGAGTTCCCATAGTCCAGCCTTGAGGTGATAAAGACGTGGACCAGAGTTTCAGCAGCGTGAGGGGTGAGGTAGTGCCGTAGGCTGGCGATGTTCCGGAGGTGATGGAAGGCGGTGCCAGTTGTGGTGCGGATATGATGGAGAAAGGACAGCTCAGGGTTGAACAGAACCCTGAGGTTCCTGACCGGCTTTGAGAGGTGGCGAGTGCAGCCTTGGATGCTGATGCTGTCACCGCCTGAGGGTAGAAGGGTAGAAGATATGAGGATATGTTTAAATTAAATTTCTGACCATTTCTGATGTGCATTACCAGGAAATGTATTTAATGTGTATATTTAGTAATAGTGATGTTTGTCGTCTCACCTCGGAGATGTGGGCTATGATTTCCAACCACTGGGATGGGCTTTGAGCTCCTAGACAAGGCTGGGCATTGTCTAACCTTTTGGCTGTAGAGGGTCATCAATGGACTTGAGATATGTCAGCTGGTCTCGCAAACAATATCTTTGTTTCCTTCAAGAAACATAACCCATAAAAAAACATACAGAAATCCTTAATTTTCAATTGGGTAACTGCTCAGTTTCACTTTATTTTGATTACAATGCAAACTTTAAATAGGCGAACTTTAAAACAATAATACAGCCAACAATCAGGTATCTCTCTCTTGTCAATGTGTGTCTCTGTATCTCTCTGTCTGTGTCTTTGTCTCTGTATCTCTGTCTGTGTCTATCTCTGTCTGTGTGTCTCTCTGTATCTCTTTGTCTGTGTGTGTCTCTCTGTCTGTCACTGTATCTCTCTCGGGGTGTGTGTGTGTATGTCTCTGTCTGTTTGCGTGTCCATGTCTTGGGCAAGAAGTCGAAGAGAGAAATCATGTTAGTGAGTTATAATGGGACACCCTTGGCCCATAATTGGAGAAAATTGAGCTTCGTTATCTCGTTATCTAGTTATTATCAGTGCAAGCTGCGTTTCCTTATCCAAGTCCTACTTTTACCAATGTGATCAAGATGTAGTCTGGTATTGAAGGAATGTTTTATTGGGATGGTTTTTGTGAAATGCCGTCCGGCATGGAGGGCGCTGTATAAATCCAAGTTGTTGTTGTTGTGAGATAAACCAGCTCATGAATTGAAGGAAAGGTTAAGCTAGCAAGTGGGTATAAGTGTAGCTGTTGTCACTGTTGCTCTTTGGAACAGCCTTTTAGAAGATAGAAGACAAAGAAATAAGAAGACACAAGAAAGAGAAAGAAATACAAGTTACGCTGTTCCCTGGATCAGTAAAATATCTTTCTGTAGCACGCACATTGCTATAAAAGATTTCTGAAACAGAACATCCTGTCTGTGAGTCGGTTTATCTTGGTGTCCGAAAACATAAAAAGAGTTATAAGTCAATAATTTTATTTAAATTAAACACAAATGAATATAATTAATGTATAGTGATGATTCAAGTCAACAAAGTACAAATGTCCAGATTAAACTTGGAAAGTCTATCTTCAGCTCTGATAACAAGTCACCATTAGACAATTAAGATAATTTCTCTGACCATCGTTTCACATGATCAACACAACTACAAATTACACTCACACAATATTGAAATCCATTCTTGCAAATCTTCTGAAATGTTTGTCTATTAATATCTATTAAGTGATCTGATGAAAATGGGCAAGGTCTGGATTAAGTGCATGATTAAGGAGAAGATTCTGAGACGCTGGGCTGCGTGATGAAGGGTGCTATATAAATATAAGTTGTTGTTGTTGATTATCTCCAAAAAGATTGGGATGGGTTAACCAGTGTTCTGCAGAAATGCTTGAGATCAAGAAATTATATCAATGTGATATTTTGATTTGTGTTTCTCTTCACGTTTTTTTCTTTGCAATGTGACCCAGGAGACGCTATATTCATTTCTGGTGTTAATGACAGGACTCTGTCTCTGATCACAAGCTCGAAATGCTTCAATGCGTATACGGGATATTACTCACAAAGGAAACAGCTAGAGTAAGCCAGTGTGGCATTAACTGTATAGCTTGTACAAGCACTAACGTAACAAAATCAAGTTGACCTTTGACCATGTTGGTGTAAGATTGCTGTTCTCATAGCAGAACAGGCGTCATTGGAGCTATACAGTAATATGATGGAGATAACACCACTCCATCCCATTCTTTCAACCAGTGACTGACAAGACAAGTTGATGGGAGCACCTTTCACAATAAAAGTCCATTTCCCTGCAATTCTGCATGAGAATAACTCCTTCCTCCCTCCCTCACACCCACAGAGACACACACACAGACATTTTAACATGTCTGTTTTTGTCAAAATAAATAATTAATTAATCTAAAAGCCTAGATCACATTTATATGTTATGGTTGAGAACCCAAATTGAATCAATTTGTGCTGCAGTGGGTCAGTAAAACAATCAACTAACAGCACAAAACACTGTGAGATTGAGCTGAAGATCCAGCACAATGTATTTGCCTACAACAACAAGTTACATTTGTATAGCGTCTTTCATGTCGGGAGGATATCCCAAAGCCTGGACAGTCAAGGATATCAAAATAAATTTTCACTTAGAAAATTATGGGTTAGTAAAGTACAGCCAACATGGATTTGTTAAAGGTAAATTATGTCTAACAAACCTGGTAGAGTTTTTTGATGAAGTAACGGAGAGGGTGGATGAAGGTAGTGCAGTTGATGTAGTTTATATGGATTTTCAAAAGGCATTTGACAAAGTGCCACATAAGAGACTTGTAGCAAAACAGAAGCCCCCGGTATTAAAGGGACAGTGGCAGCAGATACAGAACTGTCTGGGAGACAGAGAGCAGAGAGTGGTGGTGAACGGTTGTTCTTCTGACTGGAGAGAAGTGGGCAGTGGTGTCCCCCGGGGGCCAGTATTGGGACCACTGCTGTTTGTGATCTATATAATTGACCTGGACTTGGGTATAGGGAGTACAATTCCCAAGTTTGTAGATGATACTAAGCTGGAAAAGTAGTAAACAGTAGGAGGACAGTAGCAGACTGCAAATGGCCATAGACAGACTGGTAACACGGGCAGACACGGGGCAGATGAAGTTTAATGTGGAGAAATGCGAAGTGATCCATTTTGGGA